TATATCGAAATCATCGTAAGTTTTCTTAGAAGTTTCAAAATACAATTGTACTTATTTTTCTAAATATATGTACAATTTCGTACTTATCTACTATAATAATCTATAACTTCGATAATACGGTATCTTTTAAACTATGAAAGTATAATGCTATTTCTAAATAAGAAATAATTAGGAAAAACTTTATAACATTTGTTTAGTACGAATATTAGAATCAATTATATTTTGTTATTATGTTTAAAAGAAATATTTTTCTATATAAGTTATTCAGTAAGCAATATACAAAATCTTTAATATTTTCGAATAATTTAAAATACATGTTCGATTTATTTTGTGCATTTGTTATAGTATCATAGAGAATCATTCGACATATTTTATGTAGTAGGTCTGTTTGTGAGTCTAAATTAGAAACTTCTCATATTTGTAGAATGTAAATGTTTGAATCTATTTTAAGTTACCTAGAATTCATAAATAAGTGTCTGTGGGTTGCACAGAATGTCTTCATTTAGATGTTTTAGTCACGATTTATTATCATTATAACGATCATAAAAATGAAATCATTTATGTATATTTCAATATTATTTTTGCATTGTGGTATGAATGATGACAACATTGTTTATTATGTAGATGTGCATATAAATATGATTTGTAGTTTTCTACTTCTTTTATAACAACATGAAGCGTTTATGCCTTGGCATTCTTTTTTTAATATCAGTTACATTACTTCCTTTTTTATGCTTAATATTTCACTATATCACGTGAGATTAGCTTTAGTTACGTTCCAATATTCTGAAGTATTTTTTATATGCTCTGTAGTTTTCACTTTCATCGTACTTAAACATTTTATATCCTTAAGATGGGTGTAATTTTTTTTCTTCTTAAACTTTCGTTAAACTTTAATATGTAATGTACAAAATCTATCTTTATTGTACCAATACTCTTATGGAACATATAGTCATTCTTTTATTTCATTATTTTTTCTTCAACTCTTTTCATTTTACTAACATAAACGAATCATCGTTAAAAATGATCTAGAACTGATTAATGATTAATTCTCATATTTATCTATTGCAAAGATATCTCGAATAGAACAATGTCTCCATTAAGATGTGTAGTTACTTTTGCAAAAATATATCATCATATTATCTATAATTAGAAAAGGTATAAAAACAGTGAATTTTACTGCTTATCAATTGAAAGTGTCTTTGTTGAACTCCACTTATTTTTGCAATAGATTAATGCAAGACAGTAGACAAATATTTTGGAACTCAGAGACGGGCAGACGCTATCAGAATATACGTAGATCTAACGAAGTTTTGATCAAATTGTCAGCGAGAAGCAAAAAATCATCATCATTCTTCTACTTATTTCATTCTATCATATTCCTTAAATTGTTTGAGTTTACTGAATATTAGAGTTATATGAATCTTCAAAGTAAGATAAATTTTCAGTTCTAAAATATAAATATATCCGCTAGAAAGCGTCTTGAACCATCCAATAGTAATAAATATTTGTTCGTTAATGTTTATAACACTACTTATCAAGTATCGTATTGATAGAGCAAATATTGTAAAATATAGTTGTTTGAAATAGTTTTTTATCAAATAAAAATGAAAAATATGCACTTTTCTTCCATCTATTATATGTGTTTTGTTTCTCGACGTCACAGAATGCGATGAAGTGATGCATATTAAATATTGAGAAGATTTGATTTGATATGTTTTATGCTGTCTCGCTCTATTGTGTTGTTTTCAAAAAAAGCACGATAATCATAAAGTATTTTCTTAAAATAGTAATAAGTTATATTTTGTCAAAAATTCTTCGAGATCTTGTTTTCATTAATCACTCTATGAAAACTAACAAAGAAAAATGCAAAAATGAATAATTCATCATTGAAAAATTATGTTTATAAAATGTAAAAGGTGAAAAAAGAATTTGATTTAAAAAGTATAAACTTCATATCCGAACTTAGCTCAGTTGGCAGAGCGGTAGGCTGTAATGGACATTAATCATAGTAACCTATAGGTCCCCAGTTCAAATCTGGGAGTTCGGATTTGAAATTTTTTTTTCTCTCTTATCAACTATTATTGAATGAACTAAAATCTTTATCAGAAAAACAAATATTTTTATAATTTTTTCAATGAAGATATTCGTATTATAATTTAAAATGATGGAATATATTCTTCGGATCAAATAAAGACTGTCACTGTTATACTAAGAAGGTTAAAATATTAGCAACTGTAAATTTGCCTGTTATCATCTAATGGAAGAAATATTAATATATTAAAATATCTATTCTTAAAAATTCAAAAATCCTTAAATATAAATTTATGAATGATAATCTGTTTAATCTTATATTAATATGAACTTAATAGTTTTTTAAACAAATTATGTATTTCTAAGATTTAAAAGTTAAAATATGACTATACATTATATTTTATGGTCTATAGTCTTCGTAGACGATGTACGTTATGGGGTTCTTTTAACCTTTAATTTGCTCATCACGTGTGATTCTTTTACAAACAGCTAGTTCTCGTGTTTTCGTATGGTTAAAAATAATAACACCATACTTGAAATATAACTGATTAGGAATATATAACACTAGAGAGAGAGATATTAAACTATTTTTCTTCGCACTCGTACAGGAAACGCAAGAAAATATCTGAATTGAAATGATTGACCTTCACCAATGGGTACTCGTCTATAAACGCTTTTTCGACCTTTCTGTGTTCCACCGTATTTGTTAACTATGATGTAAAAGTACATTTGATTTTATAATTCTACTAATATATCTATACAGAGAAAAACGATGATATCACAATGCAAAATTAACGAATTCAAAATGAAGATCAATTACAAAAGAGCATTATCTCAAACAAGTGTAAAAATATATATATTTAGATAATTAGAAATTTTTATATGTAATATTCATAAAATAAATTTCAATTTCTTTGTTTTTTTGTTAGATTATATTCTTTAGGAATCTTCAAAATATAGTCAAGTATTATTATTATATATGAGTACAAACAATTCAATAAATTTATCTGAAAGATGTCTTGTTTGTGATGATAAAAATTGTAGAATAAATTATGGTGTTCGTTGTTGTGATTCATGTAAAATATTCTTTCGTCGAAATATTCATATTGATTTAGTTAGTTTAATTATTTTAATAAAACTTCATTATATATATATATTATTGTTTTCTTTAAATAGAATACAAATCAATGTAAATTTCAAGGTAAATGTTCTATAACAAAAATTAATCGACATCAATGTCGTTATTGTCGATTAAAAAAATGTTTATTTATTGGTATGAATAAAAATTTCTTACGTTCTCAACATAAAAATCAACAAAAACTTTCTTCGAAAATATTTAATGATCGATCATTATTAACTATTGAACAATGGTCTATGATAATAAATATTATTAATAATTATAATAATAAAAATCCAATAAAATATATTCATAATATCATATCGAACCAATTAAATTATCAACCAAAAATACGTTTTAAAATAGCAAATAAAAATTTAATGAATATTATTCAATCCATGTATGTTTTTATTGAATCATTTATTAAAATCATACCTGAATTTGTTAATATGAATATAAATAATCAAATTATTTTAATAAGAAGAAATTTAAGAAATCTTGGAGGATTTAATTCTATATTTATAATGTATGAAACAAACATTTTCAATGATATTACTTATTCAAATTGTCTATTATCTACATATGGATCATGGTTATGTAATCAAATCAATAAAATTATTCAACGTATTGATAATGATGGAAATTTAATTAAATTATTACTTGTTATATTAACATTTTCGACATGTTCGGATATTGTTTCGTTTGAAGATAATCAAAATCTATGTAAGTATCGATTAATTATGAGAATTTAATTCGTATTTCAATATTTTATAGATAACAATTCAACGGCGAGAAATCATATTTTAATAAATACTAAACATATATTTAAAATACAAAATATTTATACAGAAATTATGTTTAAATATATGTTATATCAATATGGTTATGATCAAGCAACATTACGTTTCGCTTCTCTTATACAAAATTTTCTTTATCAAAGTATTTTAACGGCAAATACAACTAAAATCTCAAAACATGAATCAATGATACAAACAATTATTAATAAAACTGAACGATTATTGGCTTTGGAAGATTAATCATATATATATATCAACAGATTGTTGTTTTTGTTTTTTTAAAGACTCATATTTATTTTTTATGTTAATAGAATCATATGAAAGTATTTCCTTATGAAAAAAAATATATATATTTATGCTTTAATCTTCGATTGTTTTTATAAACTAGTATATAGATAAACATTTAGTTGATACATGAAGTGAAAGCCTATATTAAGTTTATTATGAATTTTGAGAATTTATCGCAGTAAACATATTTAAAAATAAGCAAAGAGATAGAAATCAGCTAAGTTGTACTGTATATACATCAATCTATACTTATTATTTAATCTTTGTTTGTTTATGAGTCATTCTAGCACATATATATAACCATATGTTTTGTTATTTTTATTCTATATCATAATGAAAATAAATCCATGGATGAATAATTTAGTTAATATCATCATAGATAACTTGTTTCTACTCTCTAAAACGCAAAATGAGTCATATTAATGAGCGAGCGTACATTGTATTTATTACCTATTATAATATTTCTTTTCTTTTGGCTTTGTAGACGCTTATCAAATCAAATAATAAATAGGTATTGATCATAGATACCTGTGTATAATATAAGTAAAAAATAAATATCTATATAACGTACATACATCATTGTATAAGAATCATTACGAATAAAATACAATAGTAGTGGCGTGCGGGCAATACAAACTTCGAGTAAAAGTATTTTTTACATCATTTTATAGAACGTCAACTGCTGATATTGAAAACCTATTTTTTAGTCTTAAAAAAAATACTCGAAATATATAAATTTCTTTACTTTATTTTTTAGATTCAGTATCAAAAATTGTCAACTGAATTATAGGCCCAAAACTCTGTTGGTGGTGGTGGTACTTCAAATTATGTCCAATTTACCACGTATAGATTGGTTTTTTAAACGTATCTAGTTTATCTATACAAACGATGGTGTATAATATTTTATCTAATCTTAATCCCACGCGCGACCATCCACCGCGTTACGGTTCATTTTTTTTCTTTCTTTTCTCTGTTGAAAAAAAAGAACCGTTAATGCTAAATTTAGAGCAAAACATCAAGATAACTCTTAGTTTTCTTCGCAAAAACATTAATTTTACACAATCATTATATCATATTTGAAATCATCGTAAAAAATTAAACCGATTGGTATATATTTCTCTATTTTTTATCACTGTAACAGGTGAAAACTCGAAAACAACTGAAACTATTGGAAGCATACATCAATAAACTCAAATTTTCATGATGATTTCAAATATCGTACTTTTTATTACGTAAAACTAATGTTTTTGCGAAGAAAATTAAGAATTATCTTGATGTTTTGATCTAAATTCAGTATCAACGATTTTTTTAAATACAAGAAAGAAAAGAAAAACAAGTGATCCGTAATGTGATGAAGGTGATTAGAATAAGATAAAATATTTTACTCCATCGTTTAAGTAGATTAACTAGAAACGTTTAAAAAAATGATCTACAAATGGTAAACTCAATGTGGTTTGCGAAAAACAAAAATAAAGTAGAAAATTTGACACATTTCGACGGGAAAAAAGTATTTATTAAGGCTAAAAAGTAGATTTTCGTGATCAGCAGTTGACGCTCTATCAAATAATGTAAAAAAATACTTTTACTCGAAATTTGAATTGTTTACATCTTAATCAGAATAAAAGTGTAATTATAAAACAATTTTTCTTTATTTTTTAATTACAGAAAAAAATATGACAAACATGAATTTTAATTCTGATTGGCAATGTTATCAGCAAACGGTTGATAGAATCGATGATGTTGCGATTTCACCTTTAACTATTATGCCTGATGATCATGAATGGCTCTCAATCGAATTACCACATATTGTAGATATTGACAAGCAAAATAGTGACTCATGTATTAAAATACACAATTGGTGGTATCGCAAAAATTTCAATGGAATCTTATCTGAACAGTCATCAGACGCAAAAATTTATTTAAATTTCGACTTGTCAACTAATGACAATAGTTATAGTATATTAAATGCTATTGCTACTATATGGCTTAATAAAATACAAATCTTCTCAGGTTCGATTATAGATTTACAAAAACCAATTGAATTAACTCAAAACTTAGTGCGTGATCATGAATTACAAAACAATATATTAGTAATATCTTGTACAAATATGAGTCTTTGTTTACATAGTCGTCTTAGTGTACATGATAACGTAATTTCTGCAACTGAAGAAATCCTATGTGATGATCAAACGAATCATGATAATATTCAGCAGCTAGTTAATTCTGATGATAATAACCAAAATATCAATGTTGAATTGAATCATAATCTACAACTTAATACAGCACAAACTACTTCTTCGTCATCAATAGAACCTTCTGAATCGATTACCGATGAAACGCAAACAGATGAAGGTGATCAACATTTTGATAACACTTCAGTACCTCGTCTTGCCATTGTAATACTCATAGTCGGCACAAGAGGTGATGTACAACCCTTTATTGCGTAAGTATTATTAACTTTCCCGTATTTTACATTGGTATGATAATTTGTTTTAGTCTTGGACAAGCATTGAAGGCAGTTGGTCATCGTGTTCGTTTAGCAACACATGAAACATTTCGATCGTTTGTTCGTAAAAATGACCTTGAATTTTATCCATTAGCTGGTGATCCCGATGAATTGATGTCATTTATGGTAAAAAATGCAGGTCTTATTCCTTCGATGAGTAGTGTCGTGTCAGGTGATATTGGAAAAAAACGTCATTCTCTTGAAGATATTCTTATATCTACTTGGGATGCATGTACAGCAAACGATGATGAAACATTTCATCCATTTACAGCAGAAGCTATCATTGCTAATCCACCATCATTTGGTCATATACATTGCGCTGAAAAGCTAAAAATTCCATTACATATTATGTTCACTATGCCATGGTCGCCTACTTCAGCATTTCCACATCCAATGTGTAATATTGATATTTCAGCAGGATCTCCTGAGAAACTTAATCTTTATTCCTATTTTTTGGTTGAAATGCTTGTAAGTTTCTCTCTCTCTATATATATATGAAAGATAATTGAGTTTAATATTATTGATATTTTTATATTTCTTTTATAGACATGGAGTGGTATGAGTGATATTACAAACAAATTTCGAAAACAGCTTCTACATCTTACACCATTGAATTCTAGTCAAGCTGTAAGAGCAATGGTATATGAACAGATACCACATACTTATTGTTGGTCACCATCACTTGTTCCCAAACCTCAAGACTGGGGACCACATATAAATATCTCTGGCTTTTTATTTCTTAACCTTACTAGTAGTTACACAGATCCGCCAGAAGATTTGCGTAATTTTCTTGGTCTTAATACTCACGATGATGATAAACCTGAATTACCACCACCAATTTATATTGGTTTTGGTTCTATTACAGGACATGATGCTAATCATCTTCTTGATGTTATTATTAAAGCTCTCGATAAAACTGGTTACCGAGCATTACTTTCTGGTTTTGCTAAAAATAATGATACTTTACCAGATAATATTTTAAAAATAGGCAATGTACCCCATGATTGGCTCTTTCAATATGGTAAGTAGAATGAAATGTTTATATAGATATGTGATTGTGACAAAAATCATTGTGAGTTTTTTATCTCTATCATATAATAAAATTATAAATAATATAAATTTTTCGAATATAAATGAAATTGTTTTTTTGTATTTAGTATCGGCTGTATGCCATCATGGTGGAGCAGGTACAACTGCAGCTGGTCTACGCGCTGGTAAACCAACAATTATTGTACCATTTTTTGGTGATCAATTTTTTTGGGGTGAAGCCATAGAAAAGATTGGTGCTGGACCTACTGCACTACCAGGAAAAAATATAACTGTTGATCAATTAGCTGAAGCATTCGAGTTTGTTCATAAACCAGCAGCACAAGAAGCTGCTCAACGTTTAAGTGAAGCTTTCTCAAAAGAAGATGGATGTGCGGCTGCAGTACAAGCATTTCATGCTAATCTACCTCTATCACGTATGCGCAGTGATCTTGAATCAACGTTTGTTGCCTGTTATTATTTGGATAAATATGGAATACAAATATCACGACCTGTTGCTCGAGTACTTGTATCAGCAGGTATGATAAATGAATCAGAACTTCGCATTCATCCTACTAAGGAATGGACATTCATGTATAATAATTACACACGTATACCCACTGACGATGTATTTCATTACACTCCAAAAGCTGTCTCAAATTTGATCATCGATCTCACTGTAGGAATAAGGCAAGCTACGAGTAATAGCGATATGGCAGTTGGTACAATTGATGTTATTGCAAAGGTTGCCAAGGCTCTGGGTCTTGGTGTAGGACATATATCGAATGGATGCTTGTCCTTATATGGTGATATAACTGATTTTCTTGACAAGGCACCTTCATTTTACGATCCATATAGGTAAGTTTCAATCCGGAAATATTTTTTTCTAAAAGATAGTATTTTCAATAATAATAATTAATTTTTTATAGTGAGCCGAATGCACATCCACGACGACATGTTGAAGATTTCAAATCGGGTGCCGAAGCAGCTAAAAAATCATTATGGTTTGGTTTGAAAGATGGTATTACTGGACTTATAAAAGAACCGTCTGTTGGTTATCAACGTCATGGTATATTGGGTGGCGTAGGTGGAGTAGTATTGGCTACTGTCAATGTTTTTGTGAAACCTATAGCTGGTACTCTTTCATCAATCACATGGTTAGGTCGTGGTACATATGCAAGTGTAAAAAATGCAATGACAACTGGTTCAGCTGATAGAATAAGTACTGCAATTAAGACATTAGGATTCGAGCCCATTACACCGGTTGCAGACAAAGAAGAAGAACAAGAAAATAATAACAATATTATTAATGATAATGCTGATGATGAAGATAATGAAGCTTCACATATTGCCAAAGTAGCATCAGCTCTATCGGGTTTGACACCAAAAGTATGTCAACAAATTCTCAATGATTTTGAACAAGTTAAAAAGAATCGAAAGCGGATTAGCGCTGGATTATTATCTTTGCCATAGATATCCTGTGACAAATTTCAGTTTTAATAGCATCAACACCATTCAATGCATTACAATCAATTCATATTTGACATCTTATTCCTATATTAACTTATTTTTATCTGTATATATATACGTCATTTGTATTTAAACACAGATTTTTTTTTCACTTTCTTATAATACATTGTTTTGCAAACGTTCTTCTAAACGACACTAATATAGAAACATCTAGTACGTAATAAATACTATTCGTAAGTCTACTTGTATGAATTCATGTTGACATTATTTTCCTCAAATAAGATGAACATCCAAACATATAAAAGCAATCATCTCTCCTCTTGACACATTCCGATTAGTTCATTTATCATTTTACTTTATTCAAATTTAGCATTAATTAATTATGTTTATTTATATCCTTTCTATTCTTGAAGAAGAATTACAAATAAAACTGATTTGTTCATACTCGCTTGAGTAATATATGTTAAAGATAGTTCATATTTAATTATTCCTGATGGATAATAAAAATAACCTATCAAATATATTTTTTTATAAGTGCATACTGAGAATGTAGATTAAGTATTTATTATTATTCTTATTAAAATAATAGATATACTATCACCATTAAAAATCAGAATGTTTTATTCTTCATGTTGACGATAATAGTTCTATTTTCATGAGTTATGGCGATGTTGTAGTACCTAAATGAATTTAAAATGAAATAATCATATTTAAATTGTATGGAAAAATTGACTCAATTTTTTAAATATATATTTAAAAGAAAACGAATTGTTATTATACTTTTTTATTCTTAAATTTCTAACAAGAGTTTATATTGTTTAAATATTAAAATTTATATAGAAGTATTACTTGTTGATTGAATTGCGTTGATAGAAGTACAGCTAGGAAAAGGACTCCAAGATCCATCGTCGTTGCAAGTAACATTCAGATCTCCATCAGTATGAACAGATGGATCGATGCAGTCAAACGCAATGTAAGAATCCGGTAACATTTCATCATCTGTTCCACTCATATCTGTGGCCAGTTGTTGAGCTTTTACATTAAGATTACTTACAAGAGAAGGATTTGAGATATAGTCTTTCAGGCGTGCAAGAGAACATCGTGCCGTTTCTAAAAAAATGGGATAAATAAATTTAATTTTCTCTTTTTCTGGAAATAAAATTTTTATCCAAGTAGTTTTTTTTTATGGCAATAATGATACATTCTGCTGACTCTTTTGAATAAGTAGATGTACATTTAAAATACAAAATATTACAGTTTTAAATAAATAACATACTTTCGCAATATGGTCGTGCAGACCAGACTCCATTGTGGCATGTATAAGCACCTTGACTAAGTGAATCGATCTGATAACCACGTGTACACAAAACAGTGATATTACCTATGATAAAAAAAAATGGAATTTTTCAAAATCTCAATGGATAAAGTATCAATATGAGAAAAAAGAAATATTTATTACTTGGAGTAGTATTATCACTGTAGACAACAGGAAGAGTATCACTGGAAATATATCCATTAGGAAATGTCCATATATCATCGTTGACGGGACATCGTCCTTGAGAAGGAACGGGTGTTGCTACTGGTCCTGTAGAAATACAATTAGGAAAAGGCGTCCAGTTATTGTCATCATTACACACGACAGTTAAGGAACCGCCCACGTTCTGAGAGTTTTGTGAGCATTGAAAAGTTATATTCGATCCCCCCATTGCTTTACTCTCATCAACTCCATCTGTATAAAGATAACTGCTGTTTAAAATGATTTCAATTATTCCATTACTACCACCCATAAAATCAGTCAGCTGAGATACAGAACATCTACCCGTGGCTAAAATACAGAATATTTTTGTGACAAACACACAAAGTTCAATGAAAAGAAATGAACAAAGAAAAAATAATAACTTACACTTGCAAATAGGTAGTGGCATTGACCAAGATCCTGAACTTAAACATGTGATACGAGTACCGAAGGTAGGATCAGGAGCGTAGCCTCTTTCACATCCAATGTCATAATATCCGTATGCTAATCCATATGTATATAAAGTCAGATTATCAGCATTAAACATGTAACTATATGGAATTATCGGGAAAGCATTATCTTGCCACGCACATTGACCTAAATAGAAGAATGGTTTAGAGTTTATCACATGTTTAATTACTCAAATATTAATGTGAATCAATTTGATTTTCGATCGAAATATTCTTTTGTACTATGTTAAAGAATAGTTTTGTTTTACAACAATATCTTACCATAAACATCATTAAAAAGATTAATGATTTGAAGAAAGGCAAAGAAAACAGCTGCACTTGAAGCTTTCATTTTTGAGAAATAAATGTTGTCTATTCTTATGATACAGTCTTTTATATATGATTATTGATAGTAAACAGCTTGAATAAATCGACACATTAATTTTTATTTATTCTAAACATGTGTATATTATACAAACGTAGGGCAACAGGTTTGACTATAAATAAATAAATAAATGATTCCTATAAACTCAATCGAGATCATATTCGTAGTTTTAGTTATAAGAAATATCTTAATAGATTATGCATAAAAGAATTATCCAGATAAAATCATGCGTATATCATACTCTATGAAATGTATAATAATAGCAAATAAAAGAATGTATGTGTGATTTATATATTTTTAACGAGTACATAAATATCGAATGAATTATTGCTCTAATGTTTCTTTTTCCTCTTTATTTAATTTCAATTTATAAAATGTATAACAAATCTAAACTATATATCAATCAATAATACAATTATCTATTCAAGGAAAATATAAAATGCACTTGATGTCCTTTTTCCAAATTTCATGAAAAGTACGAATGTATTTCGGGAGTATTTCTCTTTTCTACGACGTCATTTCGTTTACAAATGTGTAATAAAAATAGGTTATATATAATTCAAAAGAGAACAAAAGATTCTGTTTAGTAAACAAAAATTTGTTTTTAGCATCTATTCATTAAAGAGTAATAAAGGGCATCATCTGTTCCATTATTTTTCCATCCTACGCTCTATTTTATTTTAATATCAAACTATACATTACACGAATTGTTCGTAACATAATCTTTTCATTATCATCCACACTCACTAGCTCCCTGAAAAAAATTCAACTGATACTTAGAAGATATATAGAGTAAAAAACAAGATACATACTCTGATGATATTTTATTATATCAATACTCATACTATAAGTCAGATAATTAGAACCAGTTCAACTAGATTACGATAATACAGTTGACTACATATTCTGAAAGCAATTACCTGAAACAATACTTTTTCTTGAAGATATTTTCCAAATGATTTGTTTTATTTATTTATTTCTGATTAATTATGTCTGTATGTATGATGATGATGTAAGATTTTAACAAAATTACTTAGTATACGATCAAAATTGGAATATATGTAGAATCATGTAAATTAAGTGGGATGATATTTTCATACTACAACGATGATTTGTTTTGATATTTCCGTTAGAATAAAAATAAATACACATTCTCAATATTTCAGACAAATTTATTCATCAACAGATCAAATAATAGTAAGATTCATCAGCTAGGAAAGTATAATGATCTTTTTTTCTTTCCCGATTCACTCATCTGACTCTGTCTTATGAGAAGAAATCTTGAGGGTGTGGGTGTGTACAACTAATCGTACAATCTACACCCAAACCCACACCCACACCCACATGTAGTCTGTCTTTATTCAATTGACTCTTTTTCGAATAGGATCAAGAACAAGCAGTTGGTCCTGCTTTTGCTATGGCTTTAGGTGGTTTGTTTAGCTGTGTTGCACAACAACTTCGTGTTGATATTGAATTCAATGGAGAATATAGAATTACTCATGTTCATTCAAAATATCAACATGAACCTAAACAATTACCTGCAAAGAATATAACATTTAAATTACATGACTTGAATGCCGATGAAAAACGAAATCTAGTTTTTCAGTTGCATGTGCCGAAACTGAATACTAGTCAAAATATTGAAATGACCAGTCAAGAAACCACTTTGCAAGATGAACAAACTATTGGTAAGAATAAATTCTTATTGTTGGAAAACTGCATCTTTATTTTTGATTAGGACAAGTTACTGTTACCTATGTAGAGCCAAATAGTCGTCAAACAATAACTACTACTCCTGTTTCCTTTCAATTGATTCGAACAGCTCAACCAACTGCTGATCAACTTCAAGTCAATTATGAACTCGATATTCAACGAAATCGAGTAGAAACGGCTCGTGAAATTAAACGAGCAATGGACACCAATAATTATCAACAATCACTTGCCATCCTCAAAGCCCAAGTTGACAAAGTCAAAGCAAGTGTGTCCAGTCAAAGTCCCTTCTGTCAATTATTGATAAGAGATCTTGAATATCGTTATCCATCAGAACGTGCCTATCGTTCGTCGCATCATAATACCTACATGCAACATGCATCTGAACGAGGCACATATGCACCAACGACCTCTTTCAGCTCTGCACAATACCTTAACATATCTCAACAGCAACAAGTCATTCAGTTTCAACAACACCAACAACAGCAGCCATCATTCCCTGATGTTCAACAACAACAGCCTGCACCTTCTTCCCAGACAAATTAATTTAAAGATAACTTAGTTTAACCTAGATAATCATTTTATTATATAATCATTTATTTTTCAAATAAATAGTACTTTTCTTAGTGCTAAAAGAGAATGTCTAAGCTCTACGAATGAATATTGAAAAACATCGGATCATTGAATTCTTTTTTTCTTTCTTCGAACAAAAAAAATGTAATGACGAGAAATAAACAGAATCACTCATTATTAGTCCAATCTTATCACCACCACCTAATCCTCAAAATCTGTTTCTTCTCTTTCATGTTGTAAAGATTAACCTTTATACATCGTAATTTATTTTCACTGAAAAATGATGTCTTGAAGTTTGATTCATTGTTAAATATTTTAGTTTTTTTGTCGCTTCTCTTTGCAAGAACAAATACCAATATTGAAGACGAGAAGTGTGCATACAATACCAAAAATTAAAAGTAAAATATCATATTGATTTAATTAAAGAAATAAGAAAATAAATCAACGAATTCACAAATCGCGTGAAAACTAGTCATTGAATCTAAATTTTGAATTCTGTAGAGAAAACATTTCTCTCAAGATTCATCTTTGTGTTCGTTATGAACGTCGATGACTCATATCTAATGATGTCTGATGGTAATTATTCGTTCGAAATAACGTCTGAGTTTGAATGTAAGCAAACGCCAACAAATTCACAATCCAATACTTTTTCTGTTACTTTCAATATGTTAACTTCTCTTTATTCATACTCTTAAATGAATATAAAACGATTATAATAAAGTCTTTGTAAAGTATTCGGATCAGTTCGTAATATTTTGAATGAATCATAAACAAAGAAAAAGGATATCATTTCGGTGTATTTTTAACAGCAGTGTATGAAAATGATCCCTTTACTCTCTCAAAATCATTATGAAAGTATTCTGTAAGAACTATTGTACTCATCATATTCAAATACATATCAACAATATTGTGATAATTTTTTAAAATGAAGGACAGAAAAAAATTCTCTATAGTTTGGTATTCAATATTTAAACTGCAACAGAAAGACAACATGAAATACAATCGTTGACTAAGCACTTCACATCAATGCCTATTTACCTATCAAGAAAAAGATTCTCAAATTTCTGATTTTATTCATATTTATATATCAACACAAATCAAAATGTTCTAAAAAAAATTGTGTTTCAATATATAACGAGTATATTTCATAATTCAAAATTATCTAAAGTACACTATGAGAACAATTGATCAAAATGATTATATTCGTAATCCTACGAGAAGCTACTCACCATATGAACCAGAAAAGAATGTAAAAAAAATTAAACGTACTGCAATTATACTTTTAATTATTGCTCTTATTCTTGTCATTACTCTCGTTGTTAGTATTGCTCTGGTTTTTACTATTGGATTGAGAGCAGCTCAAAAAACGAGCAACATTGAATCGTCTACTTCAACAAGTTTATCTGGCAATTCTCTCTATGAACCATGTAGATGTGGATGTCCATCGATTCAACCATTATTTAGTGACGGAACAAGTTTAACCTCACGAATTGTTAATGGAGAAACATCACGTGCTCATTCATGGCCATGGCAAGTGCTTTTAGTAGTTATTGACAGAAATCAAACACCAATAGCGTATTGTGGTGGATCAATAATTACGAATCGACATATTCTGACTGCTGCTCATTGTGTTCATCAACATTATCCTCCATTTATATTTATATTTCCTGGTCAACATACGTTAAATTTCAGTATTTCTTTAAAAGCAGGCTATCTAGTAAACAATATCTATATTCATGAAGGTTATAACGTTTTGTTGCATAATGATTTGGCTATTATTACCATTGAAGAACCATTACGTTTTGATTCATCTATTCATCCTATTTGTCTTGCTACACCAAGTTCACCAACGTTACAATCCGGAGAAGAACTAATAGCTACTGGATGGGGTCGTATTTCTGGTGCACCTAATACTGCTGTTCGTCCATCATATCTTCAACAAGTTAAATTAGCATATGTACCAACATTACATCCTAATTGTTCAGGATTATTTCCACCAGAATTATCTGCTCATCCTGGACAAATGTGTGTTGGAAAGCCAGGTTATAATGTTTGTCAGGGAGATAGTGGTGGACCATTAGTACGACGAATGCGTATACCGAATACCGAAACTTTTTATTGGGAACAGGTGGGTGTCACATCAGCCACAAAAGATTGTGGTTGGAATTCTACGTATCCTGATATTTTTATAAATATACCTTATTATTATGACTGGATTGCGGTAACAGTTAAACGTGCTGTCTAAGAACAAACAATTTTTTTTGCAAACTTGACTTACATATTCTTCTTGTCCTTTTTTTTCTAAACACAACTATTATTGATATTCAAGAAAAACATTATAATAAATTTATCCTATTGAGTATATAAGAAAGAACAATGTCTCATCGAAAATCGAAACTATTCGACTGTCATTTAATCTTCTATATAACAAGAGTAAAATGATTGATAATATTTTAATTCTACATTTATTTAGTTAAAAACACAATGTTCATTCACACTAAAAAATCTTAACTACAAAAACAAAAACAAAAAACAAATCAAATTTTATCAATAAGATCACTAAGATCATCATAACTATCACTAATTCTATCATCAGTAACATGTAATTGTTCAATTGCATCAGATACATCTTCAGTTTCAACTTTAATTTCAGATATATCAATATTATCATTAGATGATAAAGCATTATCAACTGAAATTGTTGCAACAGAATCAATTTTGGATTTTCCACCTAATAATGAAGTATCAGCAATAGCAGCTGTTGCTTCTGCTACTAATTGTTTTTCTTTTCGTATCGCTGCCATAGCATTTGCAGCTATTGATTTTGATTTAGGTTCAACAATTGGATCGTCTTCAAAATCTGATTTTAACCAATCAATCATATCCGTAAAAAGAAAAACTCCATTATGACTAATATTTATTTGTGATAATGGTAAATCACTTGGATCAATTGGATCCGTATTATCACTAAATTCTTCTTCTTTATTATTATTACAATCGGCATATTTTGATGTATAACGCTGTTGATGAACTCGATAATGATTACGTAAACGTATTGCATAAGGAATATATTGTTTACAAATTGAACATGTACGAGAACTAAGTTTATTATGAAGTGATGGACAATAGGCATCAAATGGAAGTAAAGGTGTTTGTGTTCCACGTACAACAATTCCATGAAATTGAATACGTTGAAATAAAGTACCATAATATGGTGAAATAGGTTTTTCATTAGCAAATGATGATTCAATTTCACCTAATCGAACACCACGTGATGAACGATGAAATGGAACTGGTGGTGGAAGAAATCGATGAGGAAAAACTTGAATATAATTTGAACGCCATGGACCACAACATTCTGGTTTTGTACAACGAATTATTTGAATTGTATATTGCGTTTGAAATACATGCGTTGCACACCAATATCTAAATAGAGAATTATAATTAATATTTATTTTTTTCAAACTATTACATACTCATCTATATCATAAATTGGATTTGGTTTTGTATCTGTCATAGAATTTGGATATAAAGCTGGACGTGAACGTTTAATACGTTGATGAAGTGGTACTTCTTCATCTTCATCACAAATTCTAATAAATTAAATTTATATTTTTCTTTTTTTTCGCAAAAGAGAAAAAAAAAGAATTCCTTACTGATCAATAATACAATCTAAAGTAAATTGAGTATCAATAAAACGAACCATATCATCAGCTGATTCTGGTGGATCAATAAATTCTGCAACAACTTGATGACGATCAATCATATTCATATTCCATACTTCAGCAAGTGTTTCACCGGTTTTTTTAAAATTAATTTTTTCTAATTCTGCATCAACTGTCAAGCCACTTATATTTAAATGTGTACCAAAATAATTATGTGGTAAAACTAAACCTGAAAGATCATGCGATAAAAGTGCTAAACGTCGCTCTGCACTATTAAATATTGATTGACCTGGTGCTTGTGTAATAAGTATAAATGCATCTAAATTATATTTTTTAAATTTTTTTATTGATAAATAAAGAGTTTTAGGAAAACGTGTATAATTTGCTGGATCAATATTATCAACATTCATAATTATAATTGGTTTAACTTCACCAATATGATTTCGTGCAGTTTTCTCAAATTCTTTTAATTTAACAATAGTATCAAAATCATTTTCTTCACAATCAATATTTGTTCGATCATGTTTCATTGATCGAATTGAAACATATGTTGGACCAGAATTAGTAACAGCACCAAGTTCATCAATAATACATGATGCATATACTCTAAAGAATTACAACAAATCAGTATTGGTAATGTTCGTAAAGTTTAAGATAGTGAGGTGGGTGTCATTTATATAACTCACCTGCATTCATATCTTCAGTTTTCTAGATAAAACTGGATACTCCTGCTAGTATGGTCATAGGAAAGGTCATTCTAAACTAGATACTAACTTAGATTTTTTTTATTCGGTCTTCATAGTATAAATTTGATGAGAGAATACGTGATTCTATTTTAAATTCCATAGTTTAACATGGATTATATGATAAATTCTATCATTTTAAAGGAAATTGGAAGCTGTATATAAAATATTCTATTAGGGATACTGTAATACAATCTATCTATAATAGAATTCTTAATATTGAACATACGTTGGTTTAAGTTGAAAGGGAGTCGATGATGGTATTGGACTTGAATTAACTGTACTCATTTGATAATCAAGACGCATAATAAGTGGTGAATGTCCTCTAGCTGCAGGTCGACCAATTCTAATTGATGCTTTATTATCTTGAACAATATAAAAAACACAATCATTTCCAAATGTTCCAGCTAAATCTTTAACATATTTTAATGTAGCAGATATGAAATGACAATCTAAATATAATATATATGACTAGTTTTTAATCGATATATTCATGTAAATTACCTTGATGTTTAGTTTGTTCGATACCCTGAAGTCTTCGGAGGCGAACTGCTGATGAAATAACATGTTTTTTCCCATCTTCAGTAAAAGCACCACCAGGTATAAGACTAAAATAATCGTTTTAAAAAACCTAATATATAATAATAATAATAAACTAAATTCTTTACCGATAATAATGTGATGATCTTCGAATTTCAAAATTACGTTGTTTTATTTTATCTCTAAGTTCATCTAATGTTGTACATGGTTGATTTATAGTATTATTGTTATCAGATACACCCCCAATTCGAGCAATTTCTTCGATAGTTTGCAATAAGTCTGGCGAAACATTATCAATTGAATATACAGCTAATGTTGATGGTTTATAAAGTTTTAAAAGTTCAGTTGCAACTTCTGGATCAGCACTACATAATGATTCCATATCTTTCTTACGTCTTCGACGATAACGTAAACCAGCACGTTGTTTAGATTGTAAAAGACTAAGTTCAGTGGAACGTTCTTTTTTTTGACGAATTAATTTTTTTAATGTCCAATTCGTTTCTTCCGTTGATAAACCCATATTTTTAACTTGTATTAAATTAGCAATACGTTCAGTTATTTCTTTAATTTCTTGTGCAATAGCATCTTGAACTGGAGCTTTTACTCTATTCTGTTTCGCAAGACGTTTAGCATCAATTTTAGCTTGATGAGCATCAATACGAGCTTTAGCTTTTTCAATACCACGAATAACCCATGGTTTCGATTCATCTACATCAAAATAACCAGGTTTACCTGCACGCTTAGAAAATGTTGGTGTAACTGCAATAACAATATTCGGATCAAATAATGGATCACATATTTCTTTTTCATCATCAGATGATATTGTTCGTTTTCGTGTACTTGTTGGTATAATTTGATTTTGACTCGATGGTTGTGTTTCAATTTTAATTTCATTTAAATTTTTTGCTACTTCAAGATATTTTTCAATATTTGATTTAATTAATTGTTCATTTGTTTTTATTTGATTCCATTCAGCTAATGCATTGTAATGACAAAGCTAAAAAAGAAGATACTTAATAACGAAAATCATTTGTCAAAAAAATAAACATACACATTTGGCTACATCAGGATGACCTTTCATATAAGCATCGATAAAATTTTTGTATAAAACAAATGGTGAAGTTTTTTTTGTCATTGTAATCAATTTTTTAGAAGTCCTAAATCATTTAATAAATAATGAATTTAACTGAAAGTAAAAGCTTTTCGAAACAAGAAAAATGTATAAAAGTTCTTTTGACTTCTTTTAGTATTAATAGATCTTATCTATAAGTCGAATATGAACATACATGTTCTATATCACGCATGAATAATTTTTTCCTCAGCTAGAGTAGTGCCTACAGTTATTCGATAGAAAATCTTATAATATATTAAAATTAATATGCGACATCTTCTACTAATTTAACAACTACTATCGAACTTTTAAAATTCTGATGATAGCTTCCCATTAACACAAGAAATGATATACTGTATTTTGTATTTCTTTGAATAAACAAAACAAATGTGTAAGTATATATTTTAGTTCAAGGCGATTAAGTCGTCGAATATATGAAAAGATAATTTCATCGAATAATCTTGTCTAGTTATATAAAATTATTTTAAATTTACCTACTATTTAAACAAATAAAAAATTCTCTTCTTTTTTTTTCTAGTTTGACATCCTGTAAAAACTGTATATTAACATAACAATGTATGAACTTGTTATACTCAATGAAGCGTTTTTCTTTTCGTTCTGCTCAATTTCATTGAAGAAAAAAAAAGGAGGAGATATTCATGTTCTCTATAACATAGGTCAATAATACACCAGCGTATAAAAAAAAATACGATCCGTTTTATGTTGTATATTTATCTTAGCCTTGACAACACGAAAAACTTATATAAATAAAAAAAAAAAATCGGAAAGAATAGTTCGTGCGAAATAATTTTTAACAATATAAATCATTGATCTGATTTTCTTAACTAAATTTTATAGAGTGTGACAAAGAATATTATCATTAAACTTACCAGTTGTATACTCGATGGGGATACACTAATGGGTGAACGAAAGTGTACTTTTTATTTGTTGTTTAACATATAAAAGAACGAAAAAGCGACGAATATGACCGCATGTTGACCCTTTATTAAAGAAAGGTAAAATACTGAATATCATTCATAGTTACTACTGAATAAGATAGGAGAATTGTTTTTCGATAGCTATCATTCTCTTGTCAATTAATGTATTTAAGAGAAAAATATCTTGTCATTTTATTCAATTTTAAGATTTGTATACGAGTTACCATGGGACGTGATAGCGATTCTGATTCTTTTTTTTTTGGAGGTTATTTTATTCATACTTTTTCTTTTATGTAAGAAGGATAAGAGAAAGTAAAATATTTTTTCCTTCATTCGTAGGACAAGCAATTATCATATGATATGCAATATTCAAAGAAATGGATCGATGTACAAGTTTGCCCTTGAAAATGATGAATTTTTGTATCATTACTGTTGTTGTTGATAAAAGTAATTGAATTGATTTCAAAGCATTTTCTTCAATCTTTAATTGTATATCTCTTGAATTATCAGAATGTAAATATTGATGATATATTTTTTTCATATAAATTAATTCGTATTTTAAATAGAGAAAATTTTTATGACAATATCAATAGAAAATGTTGATAGCCTTATCTAACCAATAAATTCAAATAAATGCTATAAATATCAAGCTTGAATTTCAGCATCTTGTTTTAATCGAGTAATTGTTATTTCAAGGATACAAAATGTTAAAAAATTTGAATAAAATTTATTGCTCATACTAACGCTAAATTTTCCTTGAAAATTAATGATAGAGATAAACTAGATAATACACGAGTCTAGACTCGCAGTGTAAAGCGATGTCGAATGTTAATTATCGAGGAATCAAGATTTAAAACTAATACCATATTTTTCCAACGGTTTGGTCTTGACATTTTCATTTCGAGTTTAAATAAATATTTTCTCGAGATCATGGTGGCATAAAAAGACAATTTTCCATGCATACGTCGCCGGACTACACAAATGCTATGTTTCACATCGCATTAATTTATAATCTAACTTCCTAGCAACAGTATTCTTTCGATTAAAATATAGAGAGTTACTGAAAACATTTTACGAGTAATTCAAAATGAAGAAACAAGCTCGTTAATTTTAATATTTTTTAATAGTCTACCTATTACGCTGATTGATTGACATCACAACTATATATCGAATGAAATATTTATGGAAACAAAAATGACGTCGATGACATGACAGACTTTTTTTTTGATTTGTTTCTGTATCAACCATGTTTCATGTTAACAATCGTTTAGCAACGATTGACTATAAATTGAAGTGATTTTACTTATTGATTCTCATTTTATTCTTCTTCATACAAGACAAACTTCATTAAAACTTCAACAAACAATAAAAACGATCATGAATTTCCTTACTATTGGCTTTTGTTGCTTTATTTTCTGTGGTAAATTAAAATATCTTATTTTTAATCAAACTAATTTCTTATTTTATAAATGATCTAGTTTTACAACAAGAAATCCATGCAATTGCTTGTTATACTTGTGCTGCAGGAACAGATGGATGTGGTCCTTCATTCAAAAGTAATGGTAACGGGGTCTTACCAGTATCAGTTTCCGCTAATATTTACTGCGGAGTATGTATTTTATTCATATTTAAGTAACATTTCTACTTTTCTTATTTCTAGAAATCAGTATATTCTGCCAATACTAATGTTATAACACGTACTACAGGTGCAACCTGTACTGCGGGCGCTGGTACAGATGGTAATAGTTATCCTTATACCGTATATTGTTGTACTACAGATTTGTGCAATACAGCTTCAATGAGAAAGACGAGTATCATTTTTGCATCGTTGATGGCAATGATTGGTGTGTTACTTATCAAATGACATCATCAGTGATTTTCTTAAGGAATCAAAGATGAACTCCTTTTCTTCATTTTATTTAATCATCATTTATATGCGTATTTCTATTCTTTTAAAATAATAAATATATATCAGGTGTTCCATTATATAAATAAGTTCATTTTATTCTTCCATTTTCATTGAGTAACTACTAGCAGTGAAATATGTTTACTTTACTCCACAATTGAAAGATAATCTTTCACAGATATACCACAATGAAGGTATTAAAATTTTATTGACATTAAAACAAAACGCATTAAGCCTATGACTAATGCAGATATCAAATGAATTATTTATAATAAAAAAAAGGAAATGACATGTATGGCATAGCATATTTTTATAATTTCTTTTTTGTCTTTGAAATGTATCATAACAACAAATGATTATAAATTATAGCAACATACTATATTATACTGTTAGTTAATTGTTAATTTATTATAACTTAAGATTCTTATTTTAAATGCTCTATGTATCATTTACAATTATTCTTACTATTTTATAATTTTTACCAAGAAATCTACGGAAAGTAGACAGTTTGAAACTATTACGTCATTTATTATTTTTATTTCTGTGTTCTTACTTTGATATTTTTTAATCAAAAGTATTTTTTTCTTCTCCGTTTATAGAAGTGACATTTATCATACAATAAAATACATTCGACAGACATACATTTAAACTTCAGTTATGTGATGACTTGACAGAGGTTAATTAGTTCATATTTTATATATCAACAGATATGAATGAAAAAAACTGATTTTGAAGATGTGGATGTGACTATTAGATTAATTTGTAAATCAAGTCCATAACTACTAATCTATCTTTGACAGATGTTTTAATACGATTCATGTTTTATTTGCAATGAAATACAACAATTAAAGCAGAATATAGATAATGCAATCATAACACAACATAACGTTGAATATATATAAATACAAGTCTATTTTAAATTGATATTCATCGATATTGATTTGAAACACTTGTAGATCTGATGATTCGCATACTTATAGCTTTGCCAGATGAAATATTAAATGGTACAACATCATTCTTCTTGATATATCTATGAATTAATCGACTCATTATCTTTCTTACATCATTTGACATATATAAATATATATAAAATGTGCTAACAAATATAACATGATAAATCACACGAGTGATTTCAGCAAATAAATGTTCGATGGCTTGCCGAAGAATATCTTTCTGTACATTTCGTGTTATATCTTGATAAACAGAATCAATACCAAATGGTATTCCGAATATAGCTAAAATAATAAGTTGAGGAATAAGCATACGACGAATTTGTTTTGCTAGACGATCATGACGATTAGAAAAAGCACTTGAACGAAGATTTCGAATGGTACCCAATGTAAAAATTGTAGTTAAAGTGATTGGTCCCATAATGAAAACTATAGGTGTTAATATATAAGCATGAAATATTCTATATGGACCATCTCTTACAATGCAAACATTATTAATACTACTACTAACAAAAATTAAAGGAAAATAAATAATTGTCCAAAAGATTACAGTACCAATAATAGCTAATCGAGCAAATCTAATTGAACTCCAATAATGTCGAAATTTTGCTTCACGATGTGTACTTGCATATTGATCAAAAGCAGCCCAACATGGATATGAAATAGCTGCTACTGTTGTTACATAAAATAAATAATTACGTTCTCGACAAGCAATATCATTAGTATTGTATAAACCTAGTTGAAAACCTTCGACAAGTATACTTTGTAAATAAACTGTTGGGAGATGTATCGTTGTCATGATAGCGCCTGATAATAAATAAACAATGGATGGATTACGACGAAATAATTTTTGTTGTTTAAAAACAATAATTGTTAATATTGCTCCTATAAAACCGACAGTAATCATTGGTATAGCAAGAACATAGTTGAGCCATTGTGCTATTGTATTGATTGTTGCTGCTGCTGCTGCAGATGACATCTTTGTTGAATAATATTCTGTACTATTATTTTCCAGTTGTCAAAGTATGATATTTCACTCACTGTTTTTGAAAAGACTGTTATAAAGCTGATATAATATAATGAAAAACTATGGGATTAATGCCTGATTATTCAAACAGAAAACAATATCGGAGCTTTGTCTGATTATAAATATATAGTAGACATATATATAATTATCGTTAGTGAACAATAATTAACCTTTGGATGCACTTTCTTCCTTCTTCTTTTAAACTTAATTTGAAATCATATATTATTACGTCTAAATGAACTTTGTCCTATGAATAGTTCATGACAGTATCATGTAATTTAAACAACCTACATAAAGTTTATATAATATTAATTTGTATGTCAAACCTATAATTCGATCAATTCGTAACAAAAACAAGATACTAATTACTTACGCTGACAAATAAACATAATCAAAATTCAAAATTTCACCTCAGATAAATAATTATAGTGCAAAATGTTTACATTATTTCATCATATAAGGGCTCTCAGTATATGTTTACAATAAATTCATCTATATATGATAATAATCATTGTGGAATAACGTCATACCTCTCTTTTTATTTTTAGAATTGATCAGTATTTTCATAAATTGAATAATTAACAATAATAAGCTAGATAAAAGTTTATCATAAATCCTATAAGAATAAAACATAAACAGAATCGCTTTACAAAAACAAAAAAAACTTCATAAATATTGATCACAACTATTTTGATAAATATCATAATCATTTAATTACGATATAGTTGACCCAAATTTTCCACGATCTTGATATGCAATTCCATAATGACCTGTACCAGGTGGATAAAGATAATTCGATCCAAATGTATAAAAATATTTTCGACTTCTCAATGAATATTGTCGTAATTGATGATCAAGAGATTTGTCACCATCATTAGGTCTATATGAAGATATTTCACTCCAAAATGTTCTCGATCGTTTTGTTGTTATACCAGTAGCATGAAGACAAAATCCATAACCTTTTTCACTTTTCAAATTATTCTTCGTATTTTTAAATATGATTGATGGACTAGAATTATTAAAATCTGGTCCACAAATACCCAAATAAACGAATCCATCGTTTTGTTGAATTTGTTGATTATGCATTAATTCTTGTAATGGTTCTATAAAATTTAATAATGAAACTTGAGATGGATCACAAAAGTTAACATCATCTTCAAAAATAAATGACCATTCAAATTCATTATTATTTGACGATTTAGGAATTTCATAAGTCCAAAGATCAACAAATGCTAATAGATTCGATGACCATTTTTTAAGTACTGCTGATGATGATGTATGAATACGAGAATCATTTAATGAAACACTTAGAAAACATCTAATATCAAAATAATTTGGAAAAACACGTTCAATATTTATTTTGGTAAAATTAAAACGAATTGAACTACAATCAGCAGTAATAATATATGCTTTTGGTTGTGTTTGAATAGTTACTATATGTACATGAGGAGTAGTAGTAGTAGTCTTTCGACTGGCAAGTAGATAAATGAAACTAATTATTAATAAGAGTAGAAATGGTTTGATATAAGTACGTTTAAATTGTATATTGATCATATTGTAAAATTTATTAAATATGTACTCGTAGTATTGTTATCATAAAAAATAAATTCATTTATGAAGTAAAAGAACGGGTAACAAACAGCCCGCGTTCAAAACGCGTAGAAGTAAACGTTTTCATTGCATGTTAAATATAGTGTTAATTGTCGAGAAAGAAAGGCATTTTTTTCTGAATATAATATAACTATTATTTTATGGCAAGTTTCTATTTAAGAAAACGTTTTGTAGAATAAGAAAAACTGCGCTCAAACGAAGTAGAAAAAAATGTTTTCTTCTAAACGTGTTACCACTGAGACTCTGTTGAACAGACTTCTTATTTAAATTGAATCGAATCGAATACATGTCTGTATTATTCCTTTTCTCTAATTTGTTTTGCAAGTATCTCTGCAGAGATATTCTTAGAACAGATTATGTTATCAACATTTCGGCAGATTAATTATGGCTGTTGATTATGGTTTCGTATTCTTTCTCTCTTACCTTCTTCATTATTATTGTATTGATTATGTTTTAATATTCTTCACATCAACATCTGTATTGAATGTGACAAAAAACCGTTTTGATGAAATACAAATCAGTTCATAATTTATCATCACTCTCCTTGTTATAATTATTTTTTGTATGTTTTATTATTCGAGATAAAATCATAGTTATACTTCTCAAAGAAGAGGAATATAAAATTATAAGTTTTCAGAACATCTGCTGTTAAATAAATATAATATATATCTGACAACGTTAACAACTCAATATGCATCTAAAAAAGAATAAATTCTGTTTCTTTTCCTTTCCAAAAGAAACGTCAAACTATTACCGCTATACGAATGGAGTATTTTCTCTTATTATTATACTTTGCAAAATAATGTATAGCAAGAAAAATAAATGAAAATTCTAAAAAATCAATATTTCGCTTACATACACATTATAATAAAAAGAAAAAGTTATAAGAATACGAATAATTACTTGTTATTCAGATAAAATTATGAATATATATGCATCACTATTCCTTATGTAGGATATATTGACTTCAACAACTATTTCAATAATTTCTTTCTCTTCTGCTATGACAATTTTCTTCGAAATTATTTTTATAAAAATAAGTATGGTTACCTCTATTAATTACTTATATATAATTGTCATATAAATTAATTTTAATATATCATTCTTTTTATATTCTAGTCTTTTTGGAATCTTTATCTACATAAAGTTAATGACAAAACACGTTATTATAATAATATTATTGAATAATAATAGATAATTATTTATTTGTTGACAATGCAGTTTATTGAACTATGCTTAGAACAAATGAATTATTGTTTTCAAAAATCTATCAACATTTAAAAATAAAATTCATTTCTTTTTCTTGGAAAATGATGTTAGCAATATATGAGTAATAATGTCGAAAGAAAAAATTTCAATCATCATATTAAAAATGAATTTACAACATCTATTACAATTAAAGAAATGAGAAAAAAACAGAACGAACAAATCGTTATTATAACAATGAGAAATGAAGTGAAATATTAGATATATATGTTTATTACCAGCAATGAAAAGCTAAATCATATGTAAAACAAAATAGTTTTAAAAGCATAATACATTTTAGGCGATTTTGATTGTATATTTTACATGTTAGTTTTATTAAGATGCCAACTTCAATATACTCGATCGTTTTGCAAACTCGAATTGATAATTACTGACTTATCAATAGAGTAATTGTAATATAGGCACAAATGGAGATAATATTAATCGAATGCGTCATAATCCATATTTTAGATCTAATATCTTTCTTTAGATAAATATATTATTAGTCGAGAAATTAACGTTAAAAAACTTTTTTTTATAATAAGTGATTGTTAAATTTTCATCGGAACATAAATTTTATCATATTCATATTTTGAATTATTTCGCTATGGATATCTATATTGATATCGTTTAATTAGATAGTATTGCTTTAGCTCTACCAATATGAAATCGATTATTATAATAAGTTTTCTGAAACCATTGATATATTTTTATAGATTATTTATTTAAAATAAAAAATGATGATAATCCTATGAATTAATACATTCCAGTAGAAAATCGTCGTCGATCTTGATATGCTATTCCGTAATGTCGTGTTCCAGGTGGCCAATGATAGTTCGAACCTAAAATATAATAATCCGTTTTACTTCTAATACAATATTCTCGAAGAAAAAAATCAACAGCAGCATCAGGAGCCGGACGATACGATGATATATGTGTCCAAAACTCTTTTGCACGTTTCGTTGTTAAACCCATTCCATGTGCACACCATCCATAACCTTTAGTACTTAAAAGAGTATTATTTGGAAATTTTGTTAATAATGAAGTATTATTCTTCGAGAATGTTGGTCCACATATACCTAAATAAAATACACCATGATTAAGTTGAATTTCTAGATTTTGCATTATATCTTGTAATATATTAATATAATTTGGTAAGGAAAATTTTGATGGTTCAACAAAATTAACATCATCTTCAAATACAAGTGACCATTCTAAATCACCATATTTTGAAAATTTTGGGATTTCATATGTCCATACATTTATAAATGATAATAAATTTGATGAAAGTTTTTTTAATATGCTCGATGGTGATGTATGAATACGAGAATCATTTAATGGAATAGATTTAAAACAATATATATTAACATAATTTGGAAATACTCGTTCAATATTTTTTTTTGTTACATTGAAACGTAATGAAATACAACTATACGTTATTATAAATACATTGATTCGTGTTGATGTATAATTTTGTTTAATTTTGATATCTATTAAATTTCTTTGCGAGTAACAAGTACGAAATGAGAAATAAGTTAAAACTAATATTAATAATATTAATACAAGAGATTTTTCGAATTTTTGTATTGTAAATTTCTCCTATATACAAATACAAAGATATATAAATACTTCACTGAAAATCGTATCTATAATTCATACTAGTTCGCTTCATCTCAGAACATATTCTGTCGACTAGAAGAAAACAATGTACTTTTATACATAAACTTAGTTTCATCTACTTTGTAGTACTGCATGAATTACTTCGCTATTCTAAACCTACTCTATAAAATCCGGATAATATGCTATGATGATGCTGATCTCAGATTATTTTCGATTGTTAAAATTAATTATCCTCATCATGAAACTCAATGTCGTGTCGTATTGATCAATACAAAATATGAATATTATTCCTAGAAAATTCAATTCTATATCATATTCAGTTATAATAAAATTATTATTGAAAAAATAATTCAATCTCATTTTACCGTATGAAACTAATTTTTATTCAACAAATATATTAGGAGAGATAGAAAACCTATAGAGATCATTATTTTATTATGTAAATATTTCTATAATGAATAAAATAATAAAAATAGATGTACTTTTGAAGTTTAATGTTATTTCTCTGTAATTTACATTAGTTCAGTATAATTAAAAATACTCTGATATATTCTACGTTGTTGTTTCTTACACAAAATGGTGATATTTAACGAGAACTTCACTAGTCTAGTATTGCTTTCTTTTCGATAAGATGGATAACAATAAATAGTTTATCTTGGAATTCTGGTTATTCTATTCGAAACTTTGAGGATATAACAATAACAAGTAGTCATTCATGTTGTAACGCAATAGTATGACATTATAAAAATAATCTTATGTACTAACCGTGTTTAACATGTGTATGAGACGGATGAATATGTAATTCAGTTACTTTCAATCACTCTAAAAAATCAAGACAGATTAAGTGTATATACAAGACAGCTCAACTATTTAGACAAGACACTTTGACTTGATTCTGATTGGGAGATAGATCTCTAATTTAGACGGTTTAGTTGTCTACGGATGATCGATTTTAGTCATTCGTGTGTCTTAAATTTTTTTGCTTGGCTGATTTAGGCCAACTAGATAAGCGTCTAATATCTGTCTCGTTTAGACGCTTCAATCGATCTGAAACCTTTAGCTTGTAGACATATACGGCGCCGCTTCAATTTTTTAGGGGATGTAATAAACTTTTCGATAAGATTGCCTAGTGTTCACCCCTCCTCATACTGATGGGTTCTACACATGGGTGGCGCAGCTTCAATTTTTTAGGGAACGCAATTGCTAACCCGCTGCTTGTTGGCGCGCCGCCCATGCTTGTAGAAAACAATGAATTAAAAAATCGAAATGAATTATCGTTCCAGGTAGAATTCTTTTCAAAAGAATTTTGACTTCGTTGTAGTTATGATTAGAAGTAAATCACGATATGTATAAAATATTATACTTTTATGTTGATTGTTTTATTGATTGATATAGAACAGGAAAAAAGGTGGTGACAAGGATGTAAAAGAAAAGAGAGAACGAAGCAAATCTATGATTTTTATTAACGGTAGTCAATACAAAATCCTTTCTAGCCCAGCAGGGTGAAAAAAAGAAATCTCGTCTACTTCAGAACTTTTTTGAAGTATGTGTGGAATAAAATAAAAGAAAGGAAAGTACCAGTCAAGTTGATTGAATTCTTGTTTTCCCCCTTTGGTTCTACTCCTTCTGATATATATATATATATATTGATCATTAATATGAAATGAAATGACATGACCTACGAGAATCCGAACGTGTTATTTTTTCTTATTATATTTCCAAAATTTGTTAGATAGGATATTTGGTTAATTGTAAGCAAATATATCATTTGTATCGCGCACAATAAACTCTGCTTATTTGGAGAATACTGTTAAATAATTTTTATTTTATATTGTTATAAAGAATTTATTCTCTTACAAATTAGGAATTACGATAAGCTATAGATAAGAATCTCAGACATCTTTATATACAATGATATTTCTTTGAAAAAATTTCTTTTTCAAATCTTGATATTTAAACAGTATTGCCACCTCTTCTGTTTTTTAAAATTTTTATCTTTTATGTTTTCAATGAATATTTTCAATATTTTAACCAATCTTTTTGCCAAAAAAATAAGAGCCAGATTTAGAAGCTTAAAAGTATATGCATTGTAATTTGATAGTTTTAAAATTTTAGTTGCTGAATTGTTGCAAAACATTCTTAATAAGTTTGTTAGTTTAATAGTCTTGCTATAGTGCATATAGATAAAAGAGTTTAAAATCAATTTTGATATACAATGATAAAGAGATCTCCTTTGTAGTGTTTTTTTGAAATCCCACTTTTTATAAAAATGACTTTAATAAAGCTAAAGCATTTTTAAACTTTATTATTCATTCGCCAAATATGAAACTTTTAGAAAATGTTTGATCTCCTGCTGAAAGTCAAAACTAATATTGATCAACTCTCATTCGTATCTAGATACCATCTTATCCACATGCAGACCGCAACAGTCTGAGGCCAAGGGAGTCCAGTTTCGATGAACGCTACTTGTAATTAAGGGTACCGAATTTTGAGAAAATTACACGTCGATATATTTTTATATTCATAAATTATTCAAAGATTAAGAAACTAGAATAAAATATGTTTTTATATGCGTATGATAAACAAATCCATCGGAATATGTAAATATAAATAGATTTGAATAGTCGTGATATAATGTTGATTCAGAATGGAAAACTACAGCAATAAATAATCATTCTGCTTTACTACTTATTTTTTCATTATATTTTTCTGGGTACTGATTTTTAGAATATATTTCTCTTCATTTTCTACTATGTGTATTCGTATTGATATAACTATTGTGCCGATTTTTGGAAAATATGCTTCATATGAAACATGGCAGTATGCCAATAAGTACAGTAATATTAAATCATTTTCAGTCACAACAAGGACACATAGTACATATAAAAAAAGACTGAATGAGTGATACAGAGTAATCTTTTAATATAACATAGTGTGTAAAGGTTGAAATAACGATTCATTCAACTATAATGACAAATTAAAATATAAATCTGAATGAACAACGACACAATCAGTGAATGATAGAACCAATAACTTCAGTCCTATCATTACATTAGTCCGAATTAATATTCATTTTTCGTTCCAGATAGTTTTCAAGTGATTGATAAAGAAATACGAAAACGTATAATGTGAAAAGTTTAAATTAAAATTGAATTTTTTAAAAGATTCAGATGAAATAGATTGACTAAAATTATTTAATTAATTTATGCAGGAAACAGAATACTTAAATTAGGTATCAAAAATCTCAAAATTTAATAATATTATAATAAGAATACATTTAATTAAAATATGATTATCTATATATCTCAGACATCGATTTACTACTTGTAGCTAGTTTTTATTATCGCCATAATAAGATTTTATGTGCCTCTGTAATAACTTCCATGTTTTCCTTGACTTTATTGGACTTCTTCAAAATGTTATTACAATATAGATGTATATATCTAACATTGATTTCTATCAATCGTAGTAAAAAGCGTCCTTCCATTAGATGTCACAACATGCATAGTAGAGGTATAGATACTATTTTTGTATAATGTCAATTTTATATAGTAGTTTTAAGTGCATATTTTCTTAATTTTATGAGTAATTTTAATATATGCATTCATATGGAGTGGAGTACAATACACAATGGGCATATAGATAAGAATAGATAAACGAGTAGATAATATTTAATTGAATTTAAAGTGTATTTATTTTAGGAATAATATTTGATTATCAGTATAGATAACTCTTTGAATATTATATATAAGTAAGAGAATACATGATAAGAAATTCAACGAGCGTTTAAACTGTCATAAGAAGCTAGAGGAAATTAAATAAATTTTTTGTTAATGAAAACATTTTCAATAAATCTTCTTTTTGTTTATATCATTATTTCCTTGTAGTTAACTTTATTTGTAGTATTATAATATCATAACAATATATTTGATCTTTTAGACTAAGCGGGTAAATGTGAGTGTGGATGATATCTCCACCCACTTTCGTAGAATTGATACGAGTTTCCTTAATCTATACAGAATGTATATGTTTTAGATTTAATTAATTTCTTAATGACGACGAACGATCATGGTCACGTAAGTAAGTACGCCTTTCTTTCGACTTATTGATATTAAATTGCTATATATATGCATAGACAATCTTGATCGAAATCAACGTGATTTGCTAAAAGCTTATTGGCTTGCATTAATAGCTGCTATAGATGAAGATTCATCAAAAGTCGTTGATTCAAAGTTTGGCGAAGAACTTTTCTATTTATTCGCTCAATTTAATCCAGATGTTACTCTTCTTCGGTGGTTACGTGCATGTAAATGGCAAGTAACACCTGCCGTTCAATTCATGAAGGATACTTTAAAATGGCGCCATGAATGGGGCCTTAGAACATTATCAGCTAAAGGTGAAAGTAATGTAATGTTAGAAGAATGTACTTCGGGAAAAGCTTACTATATGGGAAAAGATAAAGCAAATCGTCCAGTTAGTTATGTTCATGCATCAGAACATATTCGAGGACAATTTCCTATTGAAGCAACAGAAAGATTTCTCATTCTATTTATGGAAACAGGAAGAGACTTGGCTGAATCTCATATTGAAGAAGGAACCGTAGTACTCGATATGGGTAATGTTAGTTTAAAGAATTTAGACTATCAATACATTAAATTTATGATTGATGCCATGCAAAATTATTATCCCGAATGTTTAGGTGTTGCATTAATAGTAAATGCTCCATGGTCATTCAGTACTGTTTGGAAGGTAATTCGGCGTTGGTTAGATCCTGTAGTCGAGAGTAAGATTCATTTTCTTAATGACTCCAGCGAATTAGTCAAATATATTGATCCAGCTGTTATTCCTCAACGCTTGCAAGGTAATCATGTGGACTTCAAATTTGTTCCATCAACAAAAGAAGATGAAGCACGCTTGACAGCAATTCGTAAAGATGAAAAGGGCATGCAAAAAGCTCAAATGGAACATAGGAAAGCTGCACAAGATTATCTTAATGTAACATTGAAATGGGCTAACACATCAGCGCAGAACGAGAAGGATTATGAAACAGATAGAACACAAGCAGCTAAACTACTAAGTGATACTTACAGACAACTTATACCATATATTTCTACACAGACATATTATCATCGTATAGGAATGATTCAAGAGCCAATGTTCGATATTACATATAATCGAATATGTAATGATGATACTGAATTAACTCGTTTTTAGATATAATTTAATGCAAGCAATAAAGCATTCATTTTCCCTTCGTTTTTTTCTGTTTTATTTGCTTTTATGTCTTTCACTCTCCTATGTCATTCCTAGTTTTTATTTATATTTTTATTCTACATAGTATTTCGCTCTCTTCTCGGTGGATTATATATTTTAAATACATTATACATTAATTATTGTAACAATCATTCGTTTCTTTTTTTAAATTTCTAATATGACATCAATTCTGATTCAGTTTTATCAATAGAATATTCGCACTTTTCAAAAACTACAAAGAAAATTTTCCATTTGAACACCTTAATCATTCATAGTTGCTCTTATTTCATAACACCATGACTATCGTGGGATCTAGTTGAGCGTACTTTAATAAGATACTTCAAACCTTGTATTTTTTTTCTTCTTGTTTTGAAGTATTTGATACATGGATGGTAAGCATTAATTATCTTTGATTTTTATACATACTGCAAATATGGTCTGATATATAAAAAATTGATGTTCCAACTTAGTTTCTTATTTTGATATGAACCAAACAAATCATATTTTCAACTCTACTCATACTATGATTCTAACATATGTCTTTTTACTTGTTTACAATAATCTATTTCAACTAATCAGATATGACACGAATGACAAATCACAGTTGTCATACTGCTGATATGAGAGTGACATGCATTCTGTCCATAACCATCAAAATGTTTATCGAACCTTACATGCAGGTTTTGCTTGGCCTGTATTCATATTAGCATACTAAAACTAGATCAGTGATTACGGAGCAAAATAGTTTAAAAGGCCTCATAGTATCACAATAATATATAAACTATTATAAAATAAGTCCACGTGAACCCTATGACACCTACGAAGAATTAACAAGGGTATAAAATATTCGTTATATTGAAATATGAATAATACTCCGTTACATCATTGAAATAGACTTTTTTCTCTTTACTCTTAACTAATTTTAATTATAAATACATAGCGATTTATGATGTATTGGTTTTGAAATTTATAGATGATACAAAATAATTAGATAAAATTATTACATTTATTTCAGTTGTTAAAAATAAAATATTTATTGTTATAAGTTCAACATATTAAAGTTCATTTCATTCTGTCTGTTATTTGGAATAATAACCGAAATTTATTCCAAATATCACACATCGATTATAGTTTAAAATACAACAAAATAAAAATAAAATATGACTAGATTTCAATATATAAGAAGGCACTATATCAACAGATATATGAATAATCGACATTATAAGAAATAAAAACAAATATATATATAGAGAGAGAGAGATTCACTATGAAACCAGTTTGTTTTTGTTTTTCAATGCTCTTTCATTCATTTATTGTTTTGCGTAGTTTTTTTGAGACTATATCTGACACTACGCAGAATACGTATATATTTATTCATTATTTGATGCTGATTGAGTACTAAGGAAGTTTTTTATTGGGAATGTTAATGTTAATGATGATTCTAAATAGCAATAAGAGAAAAAAAAACAATTAAAGTTCAATTTTCTACTATAAATCTTATCTTAACCTGTAAAAGATTTTTTATTAAAACCATTTTCTCTTGCATACTGTTCCCATTTATCATCATCTTCGGGCAATGTTAACCAACGTTCATACGATGATGATTCTTCCAATTTACGTAAATCACAATATAATTGATAATCCTATACATACGCATCATTATTATAATATTAGAAAAAAACAAATTTCTTCAAAAATTCAAAACTTCATGCACACACCTCAAAAAAAGGATGTTTAAGTGCATTCGCAACAGCAAGTCGATGTCCAGCGTTGACTTGAAGCAAATGGTGAGAGATCAGATCAATAGCTAAAAAAAATCTTATGCATTAAACATGCATTTATATAAGAGAAAGAAGATAAGGTTAGAGAAAAAAAATAACACACACACACACACATATGTTATTCATGCAAATATTTTGCACCTGTAACCATGAATGAAGAAAAACTTTATTTATAACTAATCGTTTTCTTCTATCAACTTCTAATAAACTTTGTAAAAAACTTAATGCTAAGACAAAAATTCATATTAAGAAAATTTCTTTTCGTCATCAAATGATTATGTATTTACCTTCTTTCGATATATCTTGCCATGTATTTGATGGAAACATAAAATTTGCATTACGAATTTGCTAAAAATTTAAAGATAAACTTTGACAAAAAACAAAAAAATTATTGTTTTTTACATCTTCAATTTCTTCATCTTCATTAAATGGAAATGTTCCACTTAAGCTTTAAAAAAAGAAAGCAAAAGATAGATGATATAATCATAAATATAAATATAATACTTACGAAACATAGATAATAACACCACAAGACCACATATCTAATGATCGATTATATCCTCTTTCTAAACGGATCTCCGGTTTTAATGCTTCCGGTGCTAAAAAATAATATATAAAACTCTAATAATATGTATATGAACCCAGGTATGACACCTGTAAAATGTATTTGTCAAGAACCCATACTCATGATTCGCCTACACACACAGATATTTGTAAATATCATACCGGAAATGATATGTTGTTATTATTGCAACATATTTTTTTATGTACTTAACTTTATCATGACTCTACTGCTAAGTCATTTCTTGTTATATTGACCTGGCACTCTTATCATGAAAAAACAACAAGTAAACTTTGTACTATAAAATAAACTCTAATAACCTATATGTCTCTATTTGACTTAATCCTTATTTTTACATACGTAAATATGCTGGTGTACCAACAATTGATCGTCGAAATGATTTTTCTCCAATAATACGTGCAAAACCAAAATCACATAGTTTTGTTTGGGGAAAATCCTGTACTTGTGCCAAAAGAACTATTTGTCAATACAAAAAAAAGAGATCTTTTTTCTTCTCTTGAAATTATATACAAACCATTTTCTGGTTTCAAGTCACAATGTACAATAGATTTACTATGTAAATATCTTAGTGCAACAAGTACCTAATTATTTCATAATATATAAATAATTATATTTTGAAAAACATCGAAATAATTTTTATTTTACTTGATAAATCAAAAATTTTGTTTGTCGTTCATTGAGACGTTTGACTGGTTGACTTAGAATCATTTCAAGCATATCCGAATGTAATTTTTCCATTACTAAATAAAACTACAAAAAAAAACAAAAGACAAATATTTTAATGATAAAAGAAACTTTTTGTCTTTTAAAAATTACCTTTCCTGGTGTATCAAACATAGCGTGTAATTTAATAACACCTGGATGAATTATTTCATGTAGAATATCAACTTCACGATGAATTTTTTCTTCTTGTTCACTAAAGCGTGATTTATCAATTACTTTAATTGCTACTTGTTCATTCGTTTCTATTGAATGACCTAAATAAAAAAAATCAGTCATATCCAAATATCGAAATCTTCTATTTAAGCTTTAAATATGATAATCTGAAGTTTAATTATCGTTCGGAACATATGAAATACTTGTTTGATTACTAAAGTTTAAGCATTAGCACATCCTACATGTATTCCAAACAATCTTGAACAAATCAAGTTATCATTGATTCTCATATACCGAACATTCTTTAAAATATAAGCAATCGCCATATTATATATACATATTTTTACCTCCATAAACTGTTCCAAATTGTCCACTACCAAGAACTTCAACGGGGTTAATTTTAAATAATTCATTAATATCTCGATTTTGTGATTTTGATGTACCAATTGTAAATAAACTTTTGATTTCATTTCCTTCATTATTATAAGCTAATAATGCTTGACGAATTTGTGTATATGCATTTCTTGCTTGTTGTGATGAATGTGAAATATCAAATTTCTAAAGAGAATAATGAATATAAAACTTCTGTTTTTTTTTGATTATTATTAGATTTATTTTACTCGTGTTTTTGTTCGTTTATATCCACAATAATAAATATTTTGATCAGTACGAATTTCAAAATAATGTAATTTATCTTGATTTGTATTTAATTGTAATATAACTTTATCTAAAGCAATTTCACGTGAAAATTTATTTGTTGCTTCATTTAAATACATTGTTATAGATCTATAGAAATATAATAATTGAGGAAAATAAATTAACGTTTTTTTTTATTTCAACATACGAAGCATCAACACGCCAATAATATCTTTTTTCATTTAATGGTTCTTTTTCTATTGTATATACCATCCAACCTTCCCAAAATAATGCACCACCACTTGCTTTTTTAACACGTCGTATACTTTGAACAAGTCGTTGAGCACGAATATTACCATGACGTAAAAATAATGATGGTGTTGATGAATATTCATCTTCATCATTATCAGGAACATTAATAGGTGAGGATGATAAATCACGGAATCGTCCACTAGCAACTGACTCATCTGTTGTGTCACGTGATACATCATCATCATCTAGAGTATAAGAAAAAAAATAATTATGAGAATTATTAATTCTTCTTCTTCTTCGTTTTTTTTCTACTAATTTACCAGCTGACATATGTGGCGTTAATACTCCTCGACAATTCTTCGGTGCATTAGGTATACATTTCTTATGCACATTCATTTTACAATCTAGAAATAAAATAGATTTTACCTATGAAGAAAACTCTAAAGACAAAAATAATACCTTTACAACGATAACCTTGTTTAACTAAACCTTTTAATAAACGTTTACATATATAACATTTTGTTGGTGATCGATAACTGTGTACATAAAAACAATGAGGTAATGCTGCTGGTAATTCAGCACCACTTAATGTTAACTGTTTTGAAATACAAGTTGTATCCTTTGAAAATATCAAATAATTCAAATGTAAAAAAAAGAAAACTATTTCTAATAAGTTAGTATATTATGTAGCTTTAACGACTGGAGAATTTTAGATTTTTTTCATAAAAATTATAATATGGTCTACTGAATAAATACAAATATGCATAGTTAGAAAGTCTTTCTCTAATTCCTAACACTCCGTGCAATTTATGATAGAAGAATCGAGGCAATTAATTAACTTGTTTATTATTATTTATGATTATATAACGATAAAAGATTATATTGCTAATAAAAAGTAATATTTTTTATAACTTTAAATATACAATTATGAATAGTAATGAATTGAAAATTGATTTAAATATATATAAATCATAATTTCATGCCTTTCAAAAATAATCTTCTAGAAGTGATTATCTTTTCATCTTATATATATATATTTATAATTAAGTTAAATGATTTCAGCATGAATATTGAAAGGTAACAGTCTTCTCCTAAGATAGAAGAGAAATCTAATTTATACTAATTGACGTAACATTTGGGAATAGAATGAAACGTTATATATATATATAAGAAAAAAAAAGTAAAAATACGGTGAAAAGAAGTTCTTATTTACGCTTATGCTACATTTCATTATAATTATAATGTCTAAAATTTATCAAGGCATATCTAATTTCTTTATTTTTTCTCTCTCTCTCTCTTCTTATTAACCAAACTAAAAACTTATTTATTTACATCATCATGTGGTAATGCCACATCCGACATTTTTCTACCCATAGAATTACAATTGTCTATTAAATCTGATACACATCGTTTATGAAAATTCCGGCCACAACCTAAAGATAAATAAGAAAACAACGCGTACATAATTATATTTATTAAATTTTAAATAAAAAAAAATTCTTTACCTTCACATTTCATTCCTTGTTTATAAAGACCAAATAAAAATTGTCCACATAAATCACAAAATGTCGGTGATAAATATGTATGTAAACTAAGTACATGAGGAACAACATGTGTATAGTCATTCATAGTGTAAATGCTAAAAAGACAAAAAAAAGAATATGTATGTTTTTTTATGCAATGTTTACTAAGATATAGATCAACTAGTTAATCATATCTGACTAAAAAGACGACGACAACGGAAAGAGAGCGAGAAAGACCAAAAATAGAAGTCTTATTAAAAAGTTCTTTTTTTTGATAATAAGAAAAAATTATTATATTTTTTTTCTCTTTTATATACATCTAGTGAATAAAATAAATATCATGTTAAGTGTGTTTAAAGAGAAGAGAAAGAATAGAAAAAAAAAATTATTTTTGATCAACGAATGAATATGTTTGTTAAATAGATATGAATATAATCATAGAGCGTATGATCAAATTGACTAAACGAGCGGATAATCAACAAGCAAAAAAGAACACTTACTCAGAAAACTGATCTTTCTCTTTTCTCTATCTCAATTTCTATCTTTTCTACAGCGATAGAATCTTGTTAAATCAACGCTTCAAGTACAATAATCAAGAACTACTCTATTTCTCTACTCGGCAATATGCTTATCAAATCGTTGATCTGTACTCTCGTCGCACACATAAACGAGCGAGACCGTTTATGGTTCTTTTTCCATCTATTATTTGTTGATAGTCAACACTATGGGTAATACTGAAGCAAAAGATAGTTGTAGAAATGCCACCACATACACAAATACACATTCCCCCTTTGCTTATTATGCCTTCGGCTCTCCTGTGTGACGGATAGTCGACAGCAAGTGCTGTCATTGTCATTGTCGACATAGGCAATATTGTCATGTATATGTATGTAAGACGAGAGAACGTGCGATAAGCATCCGTTATTATTATTAGTGGCATTGAGAGACACAAAACAAAACATAAATCACTATTGTTCACACATTATGATCGTTTACGAACGTCAATCGAACTCATTTGAATAAGTCAATAATATAACTAGCGAAACACTACCTAATAATACAAAGAATAAAAAATAAAGAAAAGAACGGCGTTTACTTGCCTCTTCTTTTTTCTTAAATCGGCATATTGCAAAGCTATATTATGCCTCGAAATAAACGTATATCTTTGATTAAAAAAAAAAGTAAAAAGCAACTTGAGAATAAAAAAAGGAAAAATGAGAAGAAAAAGCGAAGTTTAATATATTAATATGATATTAGAAAATGATTATTCATGCACATATTACTGCTGTGTTTTAATTAGAAAAAAAAGAATATATGTTTCCGACAAGTATGATTAAAGATATAGATATTAAAATAGTCTATATTTATTTTTCAAGTATTCTTAAAAACTTCTAATGAATAAACAAAACGAAAATAATTATAATTTAAAAAGAAAAACATTTATTAATATATATTATAACTGTGACAATTTTTTTTAACACTTAAAATAAAGAGAAAGATAATTATTCTAAATATATAAAATTTCTCTTGGGAATAATATATATATTTTTTTTGTTTCGTTATAGATTAGTAATATTAATGTTTTTCATTTAGATTATTAATCAACAAATATAGCTCATTTTTTTGAATTATATACTATTATCATTTGCTATAATAATGGTACATAACAATGTAATAAACTTGATATATTGTTCTCGATTAGCTGAAAATAAAAAAATAGTTCTAATCTTATCTTCACATAATAATCTAGTTTCTCGATAGATTAAATAGATTAACTGTTATTGTAACCTTTTAACAAAAACATGAAATTTAATTTACTTTGATTAAGTATATCAGTATGCGGATCTCTTGAAGCTATATAGATATATCATGGAAGTTATGTGTTTTCTATTAAGATTGATTAAAGATGATATAAGTATAGATGGAATACTTCTTTTTTCTTGTGTTATTTTATTATCATTTTTTCAATTAAGTTAAGTAATAATAAATAATTAAAAAAAACCGTATTTCTAAAATATATTAATCTTCTAGTGACATCTTTGTTAGTTTATGGGATTCGTCAATATGATTATGGTGATGAAATCTTCTTGCACAATATTTCTATCAGAATTACACAAGTTATTATTATTATTATCTGTCATTTCAAAAAATGGAATTGATTTTCCTCGGTACCGGATCAAATAATCCAAGCCCACATCGTGGTGCATCAAGTCTTGGTAAGAATAATCAATAGAATAAAAGATATATCTATATATAAGATTTACTTTTTATTTTGACAGCTTTACGTGTAAGTGGAACAAGTAATGTTTATTTATTTGATTGTGGTGAAGGTACACAAATTCAAATTCAACGTTCATCACTTCGTGCATCACGTATAACAAAAATATTTATTACTCATCTTCATGGTGATCATTTATTTGGTTTACCAGGATTTTTATGTACACTTTCATCGAGTGTATTAACATCACCTGTTATGATCTATGGACCACTTGGTCTAAGGGAATTTATTGAAACAACATTAAGATTATCATATTCATGGTTATCATTTAAATATGAAATTGTTGAATTAATACCAAATGCATATGATGGTGTAGATGAAAATTTAATAAAAACAACAATTGATAAACAAGAAAAAAGTGAAAAATGTCGAACAGTAACTATGAATGAAGATGGAAGATATCATTTAATAGCTAATGACGATAATTGTGCAGTTTATGCAATTTCTATTAAACATCGTGTACCAACTTATGGGTAAAAACAAATCTTATATAATAAGTTTAATAGAGATATTTTCGAAATTAAAACAACGGAATTCTTATATTAATTTATACACGATGTGTAAAAGAAGATTTCGTATAGTATTTGACATATATAAATCAGCAGTGGATGACTGGAGAAATCGATTGGAAAACTGTTCCACTTTAAGGAGAAATGGAAAACGCGAAAGCGATATCTATTCAATGAGCTATTCGACACCGTACAGACATTCAGTACAAAGAGAAATCCATTTTTTCAACTTCCATTTCTCGTTATGAGTGAATATATGGATGAATCATTTCACATTATAATTAATTCATTGCTGCTGGTAAAAAAACAAACTCTGCTAGAATATTCTCTTAGAATGAAAAAATAAAAATGGTCAATATCTCTTTGAATTTTTTTCATATCTCCCTATAAGCGGAGATATGGATCAACGTTTGGACTTCGATCGGAAAATGATATGGCGTTGACTTTGTGAGAGTAAAGGATTTCTCCTTAAAGCGGAACAGTTTCTCTCGGTTGCGGGATACGGTCCATCTCTCATATAAATGCATTACTTCTTATTTTAGTTATATTATAATCGAAAACGATCTTCCAGGAAAATTTGATATTCAAAAACTTCAACAATCAGGTATTAAACCAGGTCCATTCTGTTCTCGTTTGAAAGCTGGTGAAAGTGTAACTCTTGATGATGGTCGAGTTCTATCACCTCTTGATTATGTTGGTCCTTCCCGGACAGGTCGTCGTCTTGTTATCTTAGGTGATTGTTGTGATGCATCAAATATTATTCCACATGCTCAGAACTGTGATGTTCTTGTTCATGAATGTACACATGATAATACTCTTCGGGAGAAAGCTATTGAATTTGGTCATTCAACACCATTAATGGCTACAACATTAGCAGAAAAATGTAATGCTAAATGTTTATTATTAAATCATTTTAGTCAACGTTATAAGTCGAAATCCATAGAAAATAAAGAAAATGTTGTGAAAAAATCCAAGAAAGAACAAGGAGGAGCGGAAGCCGGTGAAAATGAAGACGAAGATGATGATGATGTAACCGTTGATCTTCTTTTAGAACAAGCTAAGCAATCAACTACTAAACCAGTTTTTATTGCTGATGATTTTTTTACTTATACTATTCCATTATCAAAATAAATATATATTTTTTGATTTTGCTACTAATCCTATTATTCTAGATGGATAATGATGGTACACTACCATTTATAGTGAATCCTCCACTAATTGATCGATTTGAACCGACAACAGTTATTGCTAAACTTGAACCAAATCAACGGCAAATAAATTTACTTGTTATTGTTTTACGTATACAAGCTAATCCACAAAAAACTCGCGAAGGACATGAAATACATTCATTTAAAGTTGCAGATCGTACGGGTTCAGTTACACTTAATGTTTGGAATACAGCAGGAAAATTAATATCACCTGGAGATATAATTCGTTTACAAAATTGTTTAACACAAGTTTTTAAAAATGAATTATGTGTAAAACCAGGAAGAAGTAATATTCATTTTTTTCGATTTCAAAAAAGAAAAATTCATTTTTTTAATATTCCAGATGGAACAGTAACAAAAGTTGGTGACTTTATGATGGATTTTAAAGAAGAACCTGATATGAGTATTTTTACACCATCATTGGAGTCAATTAATAATAATAATACAAATAAACGTCCACCACAAATGATATCATAATGTACAGATTTATTACTTGTATATATATATATATGTGAAGAAAATATTCTTTGTATTTTTTAATGTAAAATTAATTTGAAATTTTAAAGAGAATATATTCTATTTTTTAATGAAAGCTAATTAACTCTATTTATAATTCATTAAACGAATGAATAAAAATCATGCTTGCCATTGACACATAACTTTAGATTTCCTATTGTTGATATAAGAGAAAAATAAGACTACAACATAAAAGATGTAAAGGATAAAGTTTTCCATATGATCGTATTATTTGTAGATATGTATATAATTTTCCAAGATGTTAATCAGTTTATACAATCATTTATTTCGTTCAAAATTACTTCCACAAGCATCTGAAATTCTTCGTTGTCATATTCGACAACGAAAGTATCCACCATGGACATCTTATTTTATATCTCAATATAGTTGTTTGAATGATCAATTTGGTAAAAGTCATTTTGAATTTGATGTTGATGGGCGAAATTATCATATATTACGAACGGGTACAAAACAAAAAAATAATTTTTTTCTCAATTGAATTCTAATTTTGTAGGTTGTTTTCCTTATATCAAATATCATTGTACACAACGAATGAAAACATATGATTTAACTTATGAAAATCGACTTTATACTTTTTTTAAGATATTTAATTTAGGTATACCAACATTAATGTATGGTTTAGCTGCTATATTTCTTATTCGTCATTATGAAATTGTTAATACAAAACAACATGGTTCTGTTAAAATTTATTTTCTTCTCAAAGAAAATTATGGTGCTTCACATTGATAATCATTCATTTAACACCATGTGAGAATATCATAACAATACCTGGTTCAACAACTAAATAGATAAATAAAAAAAAGATGAATAAAGAAAATCTTTGTATTGTTTTTTTCTCTTCTTCTTACGCATTATTTCATTCATATGTCGATTATCACAACTAAGTACAACAACAGCCTGTTGACCTACAATACGTCGACATACATAACTTTCATAATGTCGTCTATTTAAATGTCGAGTTTCTGGAATAATAAGATATATATTTTTAGATTGTATATATCATAAGTAGAAACAGAAAAATATTTACCAAGTGTTGAAAGTCCTTCTGGCCAATGTCGTTCATGTGCATTTTCCATAAGTTCATTTGTAATATCATTTGGACATCCACTTTCAAGTAATGATTGTTTTATAGCATCTTGTAATAGAATATCTGGAGTAGATATCATACCACCCCAATGAGTTACACGAGCTAGTTGTAAACTACTTGACCAGCTAAGAAAAAAAAAAGTAAAAGTTATACATTTTTTGAATATAAATATAGAGTATGAATTTAATCTCTAATTAAAACTATGATAAGCTGTCAACTAATCACTCAGGCTATCTTCCATCTGAAATTCTATCGAAGTTGAACACTTCGGATTGCAAATCTGAACTTAATTATGATTTTGCGGTAGCAAAAATAGATCATAATCATTAGAATATATATTTTTTTCTAATCATACCGTAATATTTCATCATTTTCTACACGTTCTAAAAAACATGATATTGTTGGATTATTCGTACGGATAATACGAATAAATTCCTAGAATTAGAAAGAAAAATATAATTCTTATAAGTATATATTTAAATATTTTACCTGAAGTGTTCGTACTTCATTTTTATAAAAATCGACATCATGTTTATATTTTTGAACTTCATTTTTAACCACATCTAATTCACTACGTAGTACATGAACACAATTATGATTCTATTATATTATAAACAATTATCTTAGAATGTTTTATTTTATTCTATAAATAAAATTCTTACTATATTATTATTATTATCACTTTTTAATATCATCATTCCACAACCATTTTCACATTGAACTAATTTTTTTGGACTATATTCACAATCAATTAGATGATTAACAAGAAGATCTAATTTAACTATTGCCGTACAACCTTCATTTTCACATGAAATATCTAAACTATAAATATTATCATAGGAACAAAGTAATCATAAAGGATAAACTTGTTACAATACTTATTAATAGTTCGCGAAAAGGTGTTTACAAATTATATCGGACGAAAATGAATGATTAAGTTTCTTTTGTAAAATTATTATCTATTCGGCAGGATTATTCAGTATTGTAACTCGATTTTTATTTATAATTATCCTAATCTTTCTCAGGGATGTAAGGCAGCATTCAGAGCAGGGAGCGTAAATAACCTACAAAATAAAGATACAGATAGTTGTTTAAATTTTAATAGTAGGGAGGCATTACATTTCGCGTAACCGTTATATTTACGTCCCCGGTTTTTCTCGAATGAATCGCATTTTTATATATGCTAGCTTTTTTCGTGCATTGACTACATTCTGATTGTCGAAAATGAAAAAAAAGTTTTAATTTAATACAAAATTCAATAGATATGCTTCGAGTAAGACTAACAAGCTTAGATTCATAGTCATAAAAAAACAAAGCTAGAAGCAACTAGTACTTATAATACAACTCAAGTATTTCTATTATAATTCTTTTACTATTTGAGATAAGTTCATATTCAATAGATTTCTTTTATGTATTACATCGTGAATTATAAAAGTATAGTTATGCAATTTGTTTTTATGTTGACTTTGTTCGGTAGAAATGTACAATCAATCGATTTTGAATACTATTTGAAAACGTATATGTACTGATGAGATGACATCTATTGAGTTTATATCTCTTACAAGATGTTAGTAAGAAGAGTATACATCAAATCTCATTTCTAACGGGAGTTAAAAAATATATTTGATAATATTAGAGCAAATAAAAATCATTTAGTCATATGATTACTAATCCCATCTCACTTTAATGAAACGATTTTATAACTATCAAATATCTTTAATCTCAAGTATTGATGAATCAACATGTACATATCTCTGATAATATTGAGTCTCTGCTTTGCGTAATATATATCTGAAACTGAACTAAAAATACATTTTATTATGTATAACTTGAGGCTATGATTCCGAAGCATAATCTTCATATTTTTTTATAAAGTTTGAATCTTAAAAGCGCTTTGAAGACATGCCATTATTTTCTTAGGCGAGTAGTATACTCAAGATGGTTTCGAGAAGATTTTGGCGATTCTGATATGAACTCATTTAATAGAAAAATTTTGACTTTTCAATGATATATTATATTAGATAGATTTTATGGAACTAACCGACTAAGTAAATTTTTAAGAATTCGTGGCACAGGTTTCATTTGATCGATTTCTAATGGTGTTCGATCGATGGGACATGTCTGTGCTCGAGATAACCATTCTTGAATACAAATCTACAGAAAATTTTAAAAAAAATAATCTTTAAAATTAATTTTTTACTTGACAAAATGTATGTTCACAAGATGGTGCTTGAAGAGGATCTTGTAAAACACCACCACAAATAGAACCTGTAGATATAAATATTTATTTTTTTGAATAGTTCATATATTTAAATTTATACAAAGTAATTCTTCATCGATACTATTGGGAAATCTTTGAATGTCGAAGCCCATCGGTCAATTCCCAAAATCGATCTTTGACTATGTCAGCACATTTTAATAACTAAAAAATATAAAAATAAATGCCCTTGTCGATAAGCTTTCGTGTGAATTTTTTTTTCTTGTTTGTGATATGAGTAAACCAATCGATCATCTTATCGTATGGTTGATGAAAGTGGCCAGTTAAATACAATACATCGACATCTATATGTTACTTTATTTTTAAAAAAATAAATAAATTACTATATAAACTAAGATATACTTAGATTTAAAACACAATATATTTTATTGATTTATCAGTTTAATAAATATATCAAGTATTTATATAAGAATCCTCGAAAGAATCGTTTGAACTCTTATGATACACATCTTATTTCTAATGTAAAATGCAGTCTAAGTACTATATTGTATCATCATATTCCACATAAAATAAACAACTCTCTATTTGAAATGCTCATCTGTTACAGAATGTTTGAAAACAAAAAATAAATAGCATTTAATTGTCTATCAAAACGTGAGTTAACAATTTGCAGTGTACTCAAATAGACAGTCAATATATATTCAATAGAAGAAAAGAATAATTTGTTGTCTGATGTGCATATGTGAAAAAGAAAAAATCGAACGTGCCATTTATTGATTTACTATTTCGAGTTGATATAAATTTGACACCCGATCGAAATTGACTATCAATTTACTTAACGTGCTGAGTATTATCTTCGAAATATATAACAAAAAGAAAAAGAATTAAACGATTGCTTCTGTATTTTACACGTGTGAAATAAGATGAATATTATGGTATATAATATTAGTTGATAAACATGTCATTTATTATTTACATTGTAATTTAAGATTTTCTTTAATTTAGTCTAGTCAATGTCTCTTTGTAATACTGATCATGAATGAAGATATTAAGAATTCCAATTTTCTTTTTTGCTATGACGAAAGTAAAACGAATGAAAATGTAATTATCTTTTTCTTTTTTCTTTTTTCTTTTTTGTTGTAATACTGACGCCGTGAATAAGATAAGCTTTGCTTTAGGCGTCGTATCGTGTCGCGTGTCTGTTTCTTTTTTTGAAGTGGAATGGTGAGTTATGAATTCAGGTGGGAACATAAGAAAAAAAAGAAACCATCGGCTTAAAGACCACCTATCTATATATTACTGTTTGCGTTATTGTAGTTTAAAAATAATCTAACTCATTCGATCGAAGATGAGAATCCAGACTAATCGGCTTATGATACAAACTTGCATATATAACTAACTATGTTCTATACTGATGCACTCAGCATGAATGAAACAAACATCAATATAATAGAAAAAAAAAAGAATTTCTTTTTCTCTTGGTATGAGCATATGATCTTATCTTTTATGTACTCATGAGTAAATAGATTTAGATGTGCTTTTCCATGAAATGCAAGTAATAGCATCCAATATGTGAGCTTCTCTCCAGCAATATGTTGATAAAAAAAAGCAATATTCATACATAGTCTTTTCTTAATCCTTTCCATTCTTTTTTTCTTTCTAATATATAAAAGAAAAGCTAATTGATGTCAAAAAAAAAGAAGACGAAGAAGAAAAAGAATGACAAAGTCAAGCTTTTTCCTTGATTGACTTTTCATATAGTTCTATTACTTTATTGACAAATAGGCTAATCTGTCCACCCACCATAATATGTCAACATCATTACATCCAATTAAATACCTTTTTCGTTTATTTAACAGCTTTTTTTTCCTCTACACTGTTCGCTCACAAAACACAACATTAATTGAAAATTTTAAAGTTTTGATGATGAGGATGATGATGATGAGCATTTGTCCATCCGTTCATAAATTCTTCACTTGTACGTCCATACATTCCTGTTGATTGAAGAAAATCCATTTCTTGATTTCTATAACTAGTTCCATACATTGCTGGATTAGTTACTGCTGTTGCTGGATCATTACTATAAAAAAGTGCTTGATTTGGACTATAAGATGCTGGATATATATGATGATAAGCAGCAGCTTGTGATGACCATGCAGCTAAAGATGCAGCTGCAGCTGCTGATGCTGTTGAATTATCTGAACTTGTTCCACCATTTATTGATGGTGATGAATGACGATTAAGACGGATATTTGGACTTTTAGCTTCACGTTTACAAGGTGATATATTATTTTTTTCATGTAAACTACTATTTGATGATGATGAAGGTTTTTTTGTTGCTTTATCTTGTTGACGACATTTTGCTCGACGATTTTTAAACCAAACCTAATTTAGAAATAAAACGTAAATTTACAAACAAATAAAAAAAAATAATAATTTACTTGTATTCTTGATTCAGGTAAATTTATTTTCATAGCAACTTCTTCTCTCATAAATATATCTGGATAACGTGTTCGATCAAATAATGTTTCAAGTTGATCAAGTTGTGCACGAGAAAAAGTTGTACGTTCACGTCTTTGTTTTCTTTGTGACGAACCATTGTATGATAATGATGAATGTTGACTAAAACCAAATGAAAATGGATCTGTATAACCAAATTTTAATGCTGATGGATCATTTGTCATTGATGCATAATTTGAATAATAATCACCTAATGGCGATGAAGAATATTTTGTTGGACTATTTACAGAAGCCAGTTTTAAATAAGAATAATCAAATATATATATATAAATATATTTATTTATATCGTTTCAAGCTTCAAATAGATTAGAATTGATGATGAAAAAAATTCATCGACTATGTAAAAGAAAAAAGAAATGAGTATGTCACGCGATAATCGTTAGTCGATGTTGATTGACAACTAGTGTATATGAGAATAGGATGATTTCTTTTTTTTCTTTTTTTTTTTTTTTCTTCTGTTTATCCAATGGAATTTCTATTAGAAGAAGAAAAAATATATGAGAAAAAATGAACCAATCAAATAAAGGATTATAAAAAAACCAATGAAAATAATGAGTAGATTTTATTATAAATCTTAAGATTTCATGATTTTGTTCTGAAAAGTGTGAGAAGAAAAGGTTAATTCTGTTTTTTTTTAAATTGGCAGTAAAGTATTTTATAAAAAAATGAGTTTGTTTACACCATCTCATTTCATCGGTGTCGAGTCAGCTACCTATTAAAAAAAATAAATCCTCACTTGTTTTTAATAGACTCTTTCTTTTTTCTCAATTGATAGCTTGAGATGACGGATTAGTATGTAGTGTGAAGTATATGAATATGTAACTTGTTATGACGCCAGCATCATCATTAAGTGAAAATTGAAAAGCATTGCTTAAGGCATATTGTTTTCTTTTTTCTAAAAGAATTCAATTATATATATATATATCTCTTCTCTTTCGTTCTCTTTTTGAGCAATTGAATTTTCTATTGATTTTACTCATCAAATGATATGCATAAAGAAGAAAGATAATCTTCAGACATTCTCACATACCACGAACATAAATACGTTTGATCATCTCTATATATATATACTTATCCAATAGGTTGTTTACTTGCATTTATAATGTGTTTTATTCTCTTTATTTCAATGGCATATTTGTTAAGAAAAAGAAAAAAAAATGACAATTAATTAATATATATTTTTTTTTCTTGTAAATGTGCGTGACAATAACACGCACGCGTCAATCATAGTTGTCATATACCTATATGTCTCTCGACATTCATTAAGAAACATCAATTGAGTATTTAGAAATCTCTTCTTCCTTCATCCATCGTCTAGAATATTTAAATTGGATGATAATCATGAAAGAGTTTAGAAAAATATTTAATAGCAGATTAAAAAATGAATAAAAATAGAATTCAATTTAAAATATAATAACAAGTTTCTATTTTCATAGTGTGAAAAGAACATAAAATAAATTTTAAATATTTAACTCTACAAAAATAGAATTTTTGTTCAAGTTCCGATTTATTCATTTCGATAAAATCAAAATATCTGTCTACTATCATACAATAAACTGAACTAATGAGTTGTTGATTTATTTGATCAACAACAAAAATTTATTGTGATAAAATTATAATTATTTCGTGATTTATTATTTTACATTATATTAACATGGCATCTATACTTATATAAAGATTAGTAAGACATGTCATACTAGTCTAGAGTTCATTACAAACTATTTTTATAACGATCTAAATTTTCAATTAAAAAAAAATTTCTAAGTCAAATATGAACTATAAAGTCTATACGGGAAGAATATAATATCTTTGTTTTCAATTATATTTATACCTTTAATAGTGAGTATGTATAGTTAGTATTACATTAGATTATATTATTATTACATATAAGATATAATTAGTTTGGACTTAGGTACTAATGATGATCGTATTTAATATCATGTAAAGGTCGAATAGTATTGTCTTTAATTATAAATTAATAATTTTCTGTATTTATTCATATAACAGAAGTAAATGATATTTGAGTCGATTGCATTCAAATATCATTTCTTTTTTATTATAAAAAAAACTAGATTTACTGATTATATCTCTGCACAGATATGAATTTTGAATGATGTTGCGAATTTCGAATTCTATTTTGTTCCCTACAAGAAATTTCTATTCGATGTCGTCAAATTTAATAATAAATATTTTGATTATAAGTAAAGATCTACATATAGACGTGGTTAGATTGATTCGAATATGTTCCTTGTAGTAGCGCTGAGGGCTTGCTATTTATAAGTTTTAACTCTACCTAGGTAACTGTCTACGATCCAAGCAATAAATATAGTTGTTATTCAATTGGACGTGATTATCGTTCAGAATATAGACAATAGTACACAAGCATATAAACCCAACGGAATACCGTTTCAAAACACATCCAACATTTCTAAAGTATCTGTCGCTATTAATCTTCGATGTATTGATAGAATTCTTTCATTTCTGACTAAGTCCAGAGGCGGATCTAGCTATTCGGCGAACCGGAGACTGCCACTCCCTCAAAAATAGAAACTTCGACAAATACTGAAAACAGGTATAATACTATAGATTTCTCTCCTAAAAAATAATACTACTTCCCACTTTTTTTTATAAACCGCCACCCCTCATGGAAATCCTGGATCCGCCTCTGTTTGACTACATATATCTTCTGCATTTGTATTTGAACTAGAACCTAGAAAAATTTAATTTTTAATACTATTAACTTTGAACAAATACATTTTACGATGCGATTAATTAAACCGCATATCAGAATAAATATAATACTTTATGTTTTCAATTTTGTGTAAAAAATAAATTCTTATAAAATTTAAAACCATTTATGTATATTCTTATTTCATTGTTGAACTCAACTACGAGATACTTTTTTTTTATTTAATGAAAACAAAAACACAGAAAAAACAACAGATAATTTTTGTTTTTCATTCAAGTAAACAATTTTTCAATATTTTGTTTAAGTGTTTGAATTTGTGCTTTTAATTGTGAACCTTCATTGATAGTAATACTTGCACTGATAACTGGACGAGTTACTCCACAAGCACGACCTAATGCTTGTTTACTACGTACGAATACGTATGGAACATTTTTATCTTCACATAATAATGGTAGATGCATCAAGATTTCAATAGGTGTTGTATCAGCAGCCATAACTAAATACAAAAAAAATATTTGATTGAAAATAAAATTATGATAATTTACTGATTAATTCTGATTTTCCACGATTGAGAGTTTTTGTTGCTTCATTTGCACCTTTTCGTAATTGCCGCTATTTGAAAAAAAGAGAAAAAAATATTATACATTATTTTATATTATTAAAACTTACATAATTTTGTGCTTGATGGACAAGTTCAAGAATATCTTTTGTAAGTTTAGCATCAGCTAATGGATAAGCTTTTGGATTAACATCACCTTCAGCTGACATGATTTATTAATTATCTAAAAAGTAATATAAAATAAATAATTTCGATGAATTTAATCGATTAAATAGATCTAGAATAACAAAAAAAATTATGTTTTTTTTTATTGTGATATTACATCTTGATTGTTAACATTAACATCTTGATTTAAATTCTCATCTGTTTTAACTTTTTTTTTCTTTTTCTTTTTTTTCTTTTTACGTTTTTTCTTTACAATTTCTTCATCTGTGGTTGATGAAGCTTCACCACTTTCTTTTTCACTTTTTCCGGATGATGAGTCATCATTAAGATCTGGTAAATTTAATTCATCATCATCATTATTTTCATTGAATTTATCTTTATGTATTGAATTTTCATTGGTATCTGATAATAATGGCATAAAATCTTTACATCGTGTTATTAAATCACTACCATCAACACGAATAGTTGATGTAATTGGACGTTCAATTATTTTTTGTGTCGGTAAATCTTCATTATCATCATGTTCTTCATCAAAATAAATATGTTTACCAGTAGAAGACGAAGGTTTCTCATTTACTAATTCTTCATTTGATGATAGAGGAGAATCCTCATCACTCATTTGAACAGTTTGTTATGTAATAAAATGAAAAATTTTCGAAACAATGGTATGAAGATTTTTAATACATTAAAAGTTAACCAATCTGATGCCTGATACAAAAGTAACAAGATGCATTAATGCATTGTATGTAACTATTCGTACTTTAGGAAAGAGGAACAATTGTAACTGAATAGTTAAATAGAGAAAAAAACGGATTTTATGCAGCATGAACATATTCATAAGATAAATTAATTTTCTCATACTAAAATATATTGAAAAATGTAATAATCTAGGTTTTTTTATATCGAGAAAGTATTTTTGAACATAAAATTTGTGAATCTAAAAGCTATGAATTTGCACTTCTTTAGACTGAAAATCAAAAATTTTAAATTTGAATATTATTTTAATTATTGTCTGATAAAACATTGCTATCAATTTATTAAAAATTCGACACTCAGTACAAATCAGATGTACTTGTAAAATCGAATAGAAGAAAAGACAAGAGATTCTATGTAATTTTTGCATTTATTAGAACTCATCGGATAGATTCTGAACTCAAAATATGTGAAGTCTGGAGACGCTAATTAAAAAATCATAGTCTAGTAAACATACCAAATGTGTTCACCATCGATACAAAATTAACGAAAAACAAAAGCAATATTTTTAGAATGACTGACAAATTTAGGAGTGTTTACATATATAACATCTCAAGACTAAATAAAGCTAATGTAATTCTAACTCAGTATATGCTTAGAGTTACATTCAAATTACTTTTTTGAATACTATTTCAATACTAAGAAGTACCTCACTACTACCGGTATCTGTTTTTTTGCTCTTTGACTCTGATGAATTAAATTTAAAAAAAAGGAGAGAGTATCAATTAGAAGTTTCAGTTCTTTTGCTACACAATACTGTTTCATTTTATGTTATAATATTTTTTCTGAGCAGAACAAAAAATACATTAGTAATCATATCTAAAAGTGATGAAGTAAATATTCTTCAATACAATTTATTGACTGGAATAAAGTTCAGAAGATGATGTCTACTGATGGTCTTTCAAAAACCTAGATTTCATCATTGGTTCCTTTTGTAGTAGCAAATTGATGTACTTAATGTTTATGATTGAAATATAACATGTATATCAAGATCATTTCTTTATATATTTCAATATACAGATGGTATGAGGATAAGATATAGACATGATTTTTGAACAAGAAACATCTTCTGTATATATCCTTGTTGTTCTTGAAAATTTCATCAGTATAATATAACATTTATAAATGAGTAATGACCGATATGATTTTGTTCTTGTTGTTTCAGTAGATAAGTAGAATTTATGTGTTATTAAATCTAATTTATTTATTTACGTAAAAAGCTCTCCTTTCATAAATCGTACATAAAATTAAAAACAAAATAACAAGCGAAAAACATACAAATATTTAAAAAAAAACAAAGAGTAGGATTATGTGGATATATCCTTCTACCTAGTATGCAATTCATTTAAAATGAAGAAAATAATGTCCTGTAGATCTTCTTGTTTAAATATACAATAAATAATAATAATAAAACAAACTATGAGAATTTTATTGATTCTCATCCATCAAGGAAAGAATTACACTGTAAGAGAGAGAGAGAGAAATTAATAGAGGAAAATCTAATGTTTATATCTATAAAAAAAAGCAATATATGTTAATAAAATACTTTCTAATACTAATCTACAACTAGTTAGCAAAATCGAATAACTAAGAGTAATATATATGATAGTTAGTTATATAAAGCTAAATTAATCATCTTAAAATATATTAGTTTAATAGAAGAAAAAAAAGGAACTAGTGAAAAGTTTTTCGATGAAATTTGATTGGTTTCAGTATCTCCTTTAAAGCAATAGATAATTCATATTATTCTAAATAATAGAGAAATAATTTTTTTTAGAGTATTAATGATGTTTACTTAACTCACGGTTAAATTTTTCAATAATACGATGTCGAAGACGAAAACTGCCATGTTTAATACCAGATTCAGCTTCATTATCACAATTCGTATGACACTTACTATGACGATGACGATGATTAGAACAATGTTTACAAATTACAGATTCACGATGTTCATCTGGAAATTGATCGGCAGATTGTGGCAACATAATTGATGGTTTTTGAGCATTAATGTCATAACTGAGTAGTTCATAAGAAGGATGAGCTATAGCCAATGTGATCAATAAAGCAAAAATCACCCATAATGTCTTCAACATTACGGTTGTGAATACGTTAATGTAATGCGATGGTTGTTGTACAACGATGACTGAATATCGACAATTTATAAATGTGTATGTATTTTACTATATTTTGTTCGTTTTTATATATGTCTCATAGGCGAAGAAGAAGAATAAGATTGATGCATACGATAAGGGTATGTTACATACACAAAGGAGAAAATTTTAAAGAAAAAAACAGAATGTGTGTGAAGGTAATTACTAATTGAAGTTTTTAATGAATGTAAAAGAAAGAATAAAAATTTTGTTATGTTATTTTGAATTATTCAACTTGTATATCATCGTTAAATATTGTAAATTTATATATGAATAATAAATAGATACATAGTGTACACAATAGAAATAAAATGAACGAACAGAAATTAATATATTAAAATATGAATGTTCAAATGAATATCTACTGTTGTTTATTCTCCTTCAATTTTCTGCTGTTATGCAGTCGAAGACATGACTTGAGAATTTTTCTCATTTGTTTATAATAGACGCGTCACAGTTAGATAGAACAAAAGTAAATCAAATGGAAATAAATTGAAGGAAAAATAGATGTTTAATAATTAGTCTTTACCAAAATGATTCAATATAAAAGTTGACCTTTAAAATAAAAAATTAGTCGAAATATATATAATAAGAAAACAATATTATTTTTATATTCGATATTTTTAACCTTGAATTTTAATTTAAAGTTGTTAGACAAAACAAAACATTGAAAAGACAGACTCAGAATTTATTTAGAAAAAAAACATAATATTATGTAAAATC